ATCGAGTGGTGTTCCAACATTCTTGTCTAGAGCGGATTCTTTCGGATAATGGTCCTGCATTTATGGCTGAGGTATTTCATGTTTTGATGTCTCGGTTGGGGATACGCCACACTTTTACAAGTGTTTATCATCCACAATCAGACGGTTTGGTGGAACGGCTCGTTCGAACATTCAAAGGGATGATTGCGAAGTATGTGAACTTTCAGCATTCGGATTGGGATGGTTATTTGCCGTCTCTTCGGTATGCCTATATCACAGGGGTGTAGAGTTTTGTTGGTGCTTCACCATATAAACTTCTATATGGTCATGATCCAGAGCTAGGTTTACCTTCACGATTGCCACGAGCTCCTGATGCTAGGTCATGGGATCAATATTTGATGAGCATTCTTCCACTTGTCCGAGCAGAGTCTGCCGAACACTTAGACCGCGTACAAGTGGGACAACAACAGTGCTACAACTCCCATCATCGTCCACCTGCAGAGTACAAAGTGGATGATTTGGTGTTAGTCCGTTTTCCCCATCTTACGGTATGTGGTTTATCTAAGGGGCTCCTTGCGCAGTGGAAAGGACCATATCAGGTGTTGCGGCAAGTTGGACCCCAAGTTTATGAGGTTCAGCATGACGTCCAGCAGGCCGATCCTCCGGAGATTGTGCATGTACAGCGGTTGAAATGCTTCATACAAAGGGATCAGGAGCAGTTAATACCGTCTACAGATCCGCCGATGCCTCCCCCTAACGTTCCTCCAGATCCCAGCCCATCTACAAGAGAACCTTGATAGCCTTCCATTATTCCGAGAGGAGGGGATGATGTGAGGGCCAAGTGTACGGCTACGATGCCGTATATTAATATTAGCATAGTGGGATTTTGGTAGCCGTCGGATTGGTTTCAATCCGGACCACTCGCTCCTGTATATAAGTTAGGGTTTTTGGGCTAATTGATATGCACATTTCTGTATTCCCTTTCCATATTCCATGCACTCACAATTACAATTTTCATAATTATCACTAATACAAACTGTGTTTAGCCTTCATTTGTTAAGTAAATTCATTAACAGACTTACGTCTCTCATACATTTCTGAACATGTTACATGCTGCAAGCCTGTCTCTGAGCACATCTGGACCAGCTTAAGTACTTACTCCAAGCCGTCCATGGTATGGCATGTTATTTGTAAATCAGGACCATTGACACATGCATTCTATATCTTAAGAATATACAACCCATGTATGACCATGTATATTCTTAAAAAGTGTCAATCCACTCTAGGCAAGCTCTGTAATCTGTGAACAATGCAATTCCCGAGTGAAGCATACACCCATCTATTATAGCCATTCAAGCTTGCCTTTTTCCAGCCACAGATGGGTGTATGCTCCACTCAGGAATTGCATTGTTCACAGATTACAAAGGTTGCCAAGAGTGGATTGACATTTATGTTTCAGTTTTGTAGATGGTCTCTAGCATCATGCCAGGGAGCAAGCTGATCGAGAGAATTAGATCATGGAAGCCCTTGGTCATTCTGTTGTTCATCCCATCAAAGAATCCACCATACTGCTACCATTTGCCATGATAAATTGCCATGAATGATCTTCCCAACCTTTGTGCCTTGAGAACTGGAAGAAGATATTAACTTGCCAAGAATAAACTCTTCTTAGTGTTTGAGAACCTATGCATGTTTTTCCCACATCTCAACTCTTCCCCATTGGATTTAACTTCTACCACCCAAGCAGTCAAACTCACCCATGTGTCTATGGAATATCCTAAATCTCCCATGTGGCCCACTTGGGTAGCTACAGCATGGGAGGTTAGACAAATCCAAGGCTACCCAACTCACTCATTGACTAGAAAGATTAATTGGTCAAGCTATCCTTATTGCATTATGCAAAAAGAATTTTGTGCAAGAGAGGATGAAGAAAGGTACTTTAAGGGGAGGGGATGGTTTGGGGCTATTATGTTTCCATTAGTTGGATACAAGCCATTCTTAATTGCCCCACTATCACATAACCTTGCAAAAAGTAGATTAAGAACATTATTCTCGAACATACAAATTGACTTAGGGCATTTGCAAAAGTTTAGACAATCTCACTGTCCTTTTGAGTCCTTCTCACAAGCTCATGTAGGAGCCTTTAACTATCTAAATTGAAAAACTAATCTCCAAACTTTCACTAGACTCTAGTGGATATTACACTTTTAGTCCATAGAAAAGTGTTCTAGGCTAACCAGCCATTCACCTATTTTGTTGTAAAAAGGGTTGCCAACCAGTTTTGCATCTGGTCTAAAATTAGGCAATTTAAAGTTGCCAAAGATAGTGGCATCACATCCATATAGTGCAACAAGGTTTTTTAACCCTTTGAACATTTTAGTGATCCTTTATAAGCAAACGCACCAAATATAAAATTATAAGTAGCTAGAACATAAAGATCTTCTTTTTGGTGAACATTTAAGTATCTACCTAGTCCAATTCTTTTACATCTTAACCAAAATGGAAGTTCCTTTATCAAGGGGTCTAGAAGCATCCTCTAGATCCCCTAAGCCCCCTCAATTATAAATTGATTGATCCTTAAAGCAAATATCCCACCTCTTGGCCACATCCTCTTTTCATATGCCTTTGGGTTGTTGGTGTTCTTATTATTGGAACTTTCTAAATGATTTAATAGTGAGGATTGCAATTTTCATCCCCTATGGTTATTACTTCCACGTCCATAACCAAATTTTAAAGGACTCTTATGATTCCACACTTTCACCTATAAGAACTTCCTATTATGGCATTATGAAGTTGCTCTACTAAATGCCAATTAAAATCTATGCCTTCTTCCTTTATAAAATTCTCTAACCCTATAGAAGGAGGTGAAATCATCATATGATAGCTCCTCTTGGTTTACTATAGTCCTAGATTTTGGAATTTTTCTTTATTGAAGAATCCATTGTTTTAACCACCCTTTTGGTAGCCTAGCTATTGGCATTATTGTTGTTGGTGATGTTATTGTAGCACCTTTTATAAGTCCACTAATGGATGGTTGGAATCCTTTTATCACCTCTTTTTTGACTAATTCTTCCTTATTGATGTTTAATCTAAGTGTGCTACTTAGATTTTCTCCAAGAATTGTCCTCTAATGCTTTAGAAATTAAACTTTCATTTACCATTCTCATAGATACCACGAGACAAGGGTAAATAAACATAGCATTAGTGTAATTATTTTGAGAATCTTTCCAAACCAACTCACTACTTTCTAGATTAAAGAATAGCAAGATCTTCCAAACTCCTCCCCTACATTTATATATGCAAGATGTTAACTCTTTTCTCTGATACCAAGGTATACCAAACAATGAAGTTCACCACTATTTCCCCATGTGTTTGTGGAATATCCTAAATTTACCATGTGGCCCACCTGAGCAAGTCCCTCCAAAACACATGAAAGTAACTACAACAATAAAGGCTAGGCAAATTCAAGACTACCCAACTCACTTGTTAGCTAGAATGACCAATTAGTCAAACTAAGAGTCCCAATTCCTTGTTGCATTATATAGGAGGAATCTTATTCGAGAAAGGATAAAGAAAGAGGGGAGGAGTTGGGGCCACTATGTTTTCACTAGCTTGCTACAAACCACCATAGAACTAGTAAAATTGAGGTTCCAAAGTGTTAGGCAACGTGCAATTACCCCCAATTGCCCCATTGTCACACACCCTTGTAGGAAGTAAATCAAGAATGCTCTTCTATTGATTGCCATTGCATTGCTGTTAATAAGCTATGAACCACTCTCTCCTACTGTAGAATTCTCCCTCAAAACCTCTAAATCCTCCTAGTAAAATATCTCTCAAAAACACTCTTAGATTCAAAATCACTATTTTAAGCTTACTATATTGCCACTAGTAGGCTGTGGAATGCTCACACACAAGCTTCAGGCCACTATGTTGCCATTGACAAGCCATGAAATCCCTTTGGAAAACACTTTCCATTATAATTTTACAAAAACACTTTTAGATGCTTGAGAAAAAAGGTAAGGGTCAACCTAACTCCTTGTCATCCTCCTCCTCTTTATATTTCATATTCCCAACCAAATCTCCTAAAACTAGATTTCTATACTTTGTCTCATAGGGGCACCCAAATTGCAAAGGAATATCCCAATGGATCTTTTCTCCTAGTGCCATATGGATTAAAACACATGTTCAATTGGTACAAACTCCATCTTTATCAACTAGAAATGCCATCTTTCCAATCTCCACCTTTTGCCACTTCTAGGACCATCTTCTCCGAGCAGTATGATGGCAGCCATGGTGCTTTTATATTGAGAGTGTCAAATATGTCTCACACTTGCTCATGCATCTTGATTTAACAAACTTACTATATATGCCATCTTGGTTTCCATTAACTTGGACAACCAGCATTAACTTGGGTGATGGTATAGCATGGATTGCAAATGGATCTCCTTTCACAAACTCCTTTTGGCAAACATGGCATATACCCTCCTAATTGGAACAAACCTTCAAAACATGGATGAAAAGAGATCAATCTACAACATTTAAATGATCTTAGCTGCTTACATTGCAGATGGACAACATCTATATTCTATTGAGTCATTCTCCGTTCAACTATGTTATGAGGGAAACATGAGCACACTATCTTACATTTGAATTGACTGCTTTAAATTATTTTTGCTTTCAAATTTATATATTCAAGGTCTCATTCTACAACCCATTCTTTGCAAGTATGGCGTGCAATTCGTAAAAGGGTGGATTTTACAACAGTGGATTTCACTCACATGCTTGTTATTGGTCCATATGTATTATGAGTGTGATAAAAACACAGGCATAGAATATTTTATGAATATCCAATCCTTATGCCCCGGATGGGGCATCATGCCCATAGCAATGACCCATGCTATGTATGGAATGGAGCCATTCATGGCCCATTCATCCCATGAATTCTAGCAAGTTGTTAATGTTGCAAACTAAATCGACAATCGAACCATACTACCTTATCTAGAGCACTATATTCTCACATCTTGCTCTTGGCACTCATGGCAAAAGAACTGAATTATCCTTTTTTGGCACACCTCTTTTAACATAGTGTTCATAGCAAGCGTAAGTGAACTCCATCTAAAATTTGGGAGTGTGGTAGCCTTGATCATCATCGATGGCCATCGCCGTGTCCTCCCCGCATTGCCAACTGCCACTGTGCTGTTCGCAATCATCAATGCTCCCATTGTTACCTGCTGCAGCATCTAGGCGATCGTCGAATCCTCCTGCTTCCTCCATCTTGCGCCACAATTCTTGAGGATGGAGGTCGTCGAGTTGGATGGCAACGCAGGGGAGAAGCCGATGACAAGTGATGGAATTGCTCCAGAACACTGGAATCTGGAGCTGTGATCGCAGCCATTGCTATCAATCCCTAGCAACACTGCAGCTCTCCATACCACCCGAAATATCCCCTACACCATAGCCAAGAACAGATTTTATAAAGCATAGAATAACAGAGCACTAAAGCAGGGCGCTAAGGCAAGGAAGGTCTCCTACAAATTCATCATCATTCGTGGGTGCCCTAGGCCAGAGAGAGTGAGGGTGCTGCGCTGCACTGACCCACAATGCTCAATGCGCGACCGCCCTTCTGCGCAACGCATCGCCTAAGCCTTATGACCTGATGAATCCCTATCTTATGGGGTCAAATTTGATGATATGTGGCATCTATGTATAGTACATTGTTCATATTATGGGGTATTCATGAGGCATCCAAATGACATTTAATGCTGAACCAATAGGAAACTGCCACATGGACACCATATTGTGAGTGAAATCTGCCACAATAACACTCACCCTTTTGCACGCCATAGCAAGTCTCAAGACGGACAGTGAAAAAAAAAATGCAACCAAAAAGGAAATGTAGAGTTTTAACAACAGACTCTAGGATGCTGTGGCTGATCCTGGCGTGTGTCGCTGGCCGCTCGGTAGCTCGAGCGCCACCAGACGATCCAAACCCAGACACAGAGCCAAATCTGGTATACTACTCCCCAACAAACACCAGCACGAACAGCACTTACCAGCGAAATGTGGTGGCCGTCCTGGAGTTCCTCTACAAGAACAATCCCCCAGACGGCTATGCAACGAGCCTTGGCTATGGCGGCTTCCCAAACGCTGTCTACGCGCACAGTGGCTGCTACAACATGTCCGACCAGCCGAGCTGTGGACAGTGCATCCAGAACGCCTACACGAACATCCAAAGTGTTAATCTGTATGCCGTTGGTGGTGCGATTTGGATCAACCAAACCTTTCAAAGGTGCCGCATGAGATACGATCCTTCCAGCTTTGAGATCGTTCCTGGTAAGACCACAAAAATTTAAGTGCAATACCTTCGTTCTTCTTTTTCTTCTAGGTACTTTGGGCATTGTGGGTCCAAACATTTCATCTCCAGCTCCAGCACCAGGTCCAGGTCTAGCTTTAGGTCCAGATCCAGATCCAGATCCAGCTCCAGCTCCAGCTCCAGCTCCTCCAGATCCAGCTCCAGCTCCTCCAGATCCAGCTCCAGCTACTGGCAAGCAAAATGCTGGGACGAGAAATGGCGTGATAGCTGGTGCTGTGGTGGGAGGAGCTGTGTTTTGTTTTGTTTGTGCTGTTCTTGGGTTCTTCTTGTTAACAAGGCGAAGAAGAGAATCGGAGAAATCGGAGAAATGCGAAGACTTTGGGATCATCAAGGGTAAGGAAATCTGAAGTGCTTCTAACTTGCTGAAGATGGACCCACCTTGATCAAGGTCTCCATGTGGTCTTTTCTTACAAGGATTTGTGTGCGGCGACCAGGGGGTTCTCTGTGGAAAGCAAGCTCGGTCAAGGTGGATTTGGAACTGTTTACAAGGTTAGCTGTTTTTTATGTGAAGTCGCACAGTAGAACTATCTGTCTAAATCTTGTAGGCCACCTTAAACAATGGCTCGCAAGTAGCAGTGAAGAAGCTCTCGTTGCAGTCCAACCAAGGCAACAGAGAGTTCGTGAACGAGATCACCATTATCACAGGAATCCAACACCGAAATCTTGTAAGGCTCAAAGGCTATTGTGTCGAGGCAGATGAAAGACTGCTCGTCTACGAGTTCCTCAACAAAGGCAGCCTTGACCGGGCGCTCTTCAGTAATAATCTTTTGCTTCTTCCTTTGTTTCTCCTTCTAACAAAATTAAAAATTCCATCCGCAGGTTCTGGATCAAATGTGGTCCTTGACTGGCACTCACGCTTTCAAATCGCCATTGGGATAGCTCGGGGTCTTGCTTACTTGCACGAGGAGTCTCATGTTCAGATTATCCACAGAGACATCAAAGCCAGCAACATCCTCTTGGACGACAAGCTGCAGCCAAAGATCTCCGACTTTGGGATATCAAAGCTCTTCGACTTGGACAAAGGCTTCGGCTTCACGAGCACAAAGGTGGCCGGCACACTGTAAGTTTGATCTCCTCTTCCTTCCACAGTCTGGACGAAACTCACGCCATTCTTCTAGTGGATACATGGCACCCGAGTACGCAACTCGAGGGCGATTGACGACCAAAGCTGATGTCTTCAGCTATGGAATCCTCGTCCTGGAGATCGCCAGCGGCAGAAAGTGCGTGGATCCGGCATTGCCAGCCGAAGAAGAGCTCTTACTTCAACTGGTAAGTCGATCAAATTAGAACCGATAACCAATGGTGTCATGGCTGCAGTCTTGGAAACTCGTCATGGCAAACAGGATGAGCGAATGCATTGACAAGAGGCTGGGCGGTGACTACGCGGTGGACGAGGTTTCTAGGCTGCTCCGTGTTGCCATGCTGTGTACGCAAGAACATGAGGAAGCTCGACCAACAATGAGTGACGTTGTGGCCATGTTGCTGGGATATCTCGAGATTGGCGCTCTTCCCACCCAAGCTCCCTTTCACTTTGGCCTGGTAATGAGCTCCTCAACGACTACAAGTAGCGATTACTTGAATTCCATGGACATGCCGCGTTGAGCAAAAGTGTCGGAAGTTTCCGGACTCTGCCGACTTTAAGATCTTGTCCAAGTCTTCTCAAGCCCAGGAAATAAAGAAGAAAGGTACGCTGAAGCTGGATCGAACACATTTTACTAGAGTTTCTCTTAAACCATCGTGTTAGCTTGCACTCTTGCAATCTTTCTGCCGCGCAAACCCAGTGATGAGCGCCATCCACGCCACTTCATCGTGTTCTTTGAGTTGGAAATATAGGAGTATAGTAACAGCTCTAGGTTTTTGAGTTGGGCAAGAAGCTGTTAATTAGCCACGATTATAAAAACCTTCACTTTGGCCAGGTACTGAGCTCCCGGACAAGTATAAGTACTAGCGATTCCCTGGACAAGCCGCGTAGTAGGTTTTCCTTGGGTTGTCCGTAGAGATCGTGAAGTTGAAACTCCACGAGCTGGATCCAGCTATTTGTCGCACTAATGACAACGTCAAGCACCTCAATATCTTGACCATTTGTCCACTAGAGCTGCAATTCATTCTTTGCCAGCGTTGAAAGCTTGAGCAATCGTGCTCATTGACTTTTTCTCCTCCTGACATTTTGATTGCCCGAAGTTGAGATGGAACTCTCGCAGTGAGAAAAAAATGCAAGAGTTGAAAAACGAAATGTAGAGTTCTAGTTCCAGCCGCAGAATGTAGGATGCTGTGGCTGATCTTGGCATGTGTCGCTGGCCGCTCGTTATCTCACCAGACGATCCAAACCCAGACACAGAGCCAAATCTGGTATACTACTTCCCAACAAACACCAGCGCGAACAGCACTTACCAGCGAAATGTGGTGGCCGTCCTGGAGTTCCTCTACAAGCACAATCCGCCAGACGGCTATGCAGCGAGCCTTGGCTATGGCGGCTATGCGACGTGCCTTGGCTACAGCAGCTTTCCACACGCTGTCTACGCACACAGTGGCTGCTACAACATGTCCGACCAGCCGAGCTGTGGACAGTGCATCCAGGACGCCTACATGAACATCCAAAGCGTTCTTTGGTATGCCACTGGTGGTGTCATTTGGATCAACCAGACCTTTCAAAGGTCGCATGAGATACGATCCTTTCAGCTTTGCGATCGTTCCTGGTAAAACCATAAAAGTTAGTAATAACTCTCCTCCGGGTCCAAACATTTCATCTCTAAATCCAGCTCTAGCTACAGCTGGGAGGAGAAAGGGCGTTATACCTGGTGCTGTGGTGGGAACACTCTTCTTTCGTCGTCCATAGCTAAAACTTCTTTCTTTGTAGTCTTTGAGTCTACAAACTTTGATTTTCTTGGAAAGCAAGGTGGAAAGCTAAAATTGGTTTCATGTAGCTTTTTTTGTAGGCCGAGGAGTGGCAGTAAAGAAGCTCTCGCTACAAGGAGATAAGGAGTTTGTGAATGAGCTCCAGCGTCCAGCATAGGAACCTTGTTGTGCAAGGGGACGACAGGTTTCTTGTCTATGAATTTTTGGAGCAAGGGAGCCTGGTAAGTTGTTCATCCTTTTTCACTTTCATATTGGATCATGATAGGAATCCAGATTGCCCACCAGTGCCCTTGCGTATCTACACGGCGGTCGCCTTTCGATCGGATTCGTGTCGCTGCTTGTGTTCTTGCGTGTTCTTGGTTTTCTTTGTTCGCTCTCTTCTCTCCCTTTTTATTTGTGGCGATCTTCTCGAATCAGACATCAAAGCCAGCAACATCCTCTTGACTAGCACTTTGGAGCCCAAAATCGCTGACTTTGGGATCTCAAACCTCTTTGACATCGAGAAAGGTTTCACGAGCACAAACGTGGCTGGCACTTTTAAGTTTTTAAGTTCTGTGCGTGTTAAGTTTGTCTGATTGGTGGGTCCAAGGCCGACGTGTTCAGCTTTAGAGTCGTGCTCGCGTGGACATAACACGAACGGACAAGGAAGAACTGCTGGTGCCGCTCGAAAGTTTGGCATTGTATCGATAACTTCCATACAAACTTAACGGTGACACTGTGGTGTAGGCTTGGAACTTGAGCGAGGCTGGGAGATTGGACGAGTGCGTCGATGAGAGAGTCGGGAATGACTATGTCGCCAGGAAGTCCACAGAACGCTTCACGTTGCTTTGCTTTGCACCCAAGACTGGAGAGCTTCGACCGGCAATGGGCGACGTTTTGGCGATGTTGCTCGGCTACCTCGACCTCGGGTCCCTCGTGTTTCTCATTTCCAACCGATAATTCGCGAAGGAGAAGCTCTAATCTCGATCGGGACAATGGACGTGACATGGAACTGTTAAACGCACTTTACGAGCAAGCGAGGGTAAAAATCATATAAGATGAAATCCTGACAAAACTAGATGTATGATCTATGGCCGGGAGGGAAATATAGGATTAGAGATGAGCTGCTTGTGGTGGGTTCTTCTTCTCATTCTTTGTTTTGGCACACGGCCTCTCGCAGCACAGCAGCAGCGACCAGTGGACGTCACGGATCCAGGTCAACTAGCAAACGTTCTCTACTACAACACCGCCAACACCAGCGAAGGCAGCCCATTCCAGCGAAATCTCGACACGGTCTTCGAATTCCTCCAGGGGTTCAATCCCTCCAATGGATTTGCAACTTCTCTCGGATATGGTGCGTTTCCCAACATCGCCTACGCGCACACGGCTTGCTACAACATGTCGGACCAGCCCAGCTGCTCATCTTGCATCCAGCAGGCGTATGCCAATGCCCGAGCTGTAAGTTTCGATCAACTTCTAGACGATGGATTCATTGAGTTTCACTCAGAGATTTCCAATTGGTGCCCGTTTCTGGAGGAATTCCACAGCAGAAAGATGCAACATGCGGTTCGAGAATAGCAATTTTACGAGAGACTTGCCATCGGGTTTGCTTCTTGGTTTCTTGCCTCAAAGTTTTTCCTTGTTTCTTTCCAATGTCAAAGTTCTTCCATCATTGTTTATCCAGGGACGCTAGGAATATTGGGTCCAAATGCCTCCGCTCCAGCTCCACCTCCAGTGGTTCCCCCTCCAACGGCTCGACCTCCTGCTAGCACTCCAGGTACAAATCAAACCTTTGAGCTAGAAGAGAATTCGTTCTTTCAGGCGGTGGCAGTGGCGGATCAAGCAACACAGCAGCCATTGTGGCTGGTGTTGTGGTGCCAGTGTTTTTGATCCTGGGAGTTGCCGGACTTCTGCTCGTCAAGCGCAGAAGGTCCCGACGACGACGACGACGAGGGTTGCCTCGAGTTCCTTCTTCAGAACTGCAAAGTAGGACATTTCCTCCTCTTCTTCTCGCTTTGTTGAAGCTTTGTGTTTTCAGGGAGTTCGAGAGGACCCATCGCGTTTTCTTACCGGGATTTGTGTGAGGCCACCGAAGACTTTAGCGACCGAAACAAACTCGGACAAGGCGGATTTGGCACCGTGTACAAGGCAAGCACAGAAAATATAAACTTTGCCAACTTCTAAACTTGTCAGCTCGTGTGTGTAGGCTTTCTTTGGCGATGGAACCGTGTTTGCTGTGAAGAGGCTTTCGGTGGGGTCTCAGCAAGGAAAGATGGAGTTTGTGAATGAGATCGATATCATCACCGCCATTCGTCACAAAAATCTTGTGATGCTCGAGGGATACTGTTGCGAGGGGAATCATCGGCTTATCGTCTACGAGTTTCTCGAGAAAGGGAGCCTCGATCAAACACTGTTCGGTAAATGAATCCATCTTTCCTTTAAGCTCATTGTAACTAGGTAGTCATTGCCAGGAAAGAGTTTACTCTTAGATTGGCCAGCTCGCTTCCAGATTATCGTGGGAGTGGCGAAAGGCCTCGCTTATCTCCACGAGGAATCACACGAACAGGTTATACACCGGGACATCAAGGCCAGCAACATCCTCCTTGACAAAATGCTCCAGCCGAAGATCTCCGACTTTGGAATCTCCAAGCTGGCGGGAGTGGAGAAAGAAAACACAACCACGAGAGTGGCCGGGACAGTGTAAGCGTTTCTCCTTTCTGGCTTGTTATTCTGGAACTCACCAGTGTGTAATAGTGGATACATGGCACCCGAGTACGTTCTTCGAGGGCGATTATCTTCCAAAGTCGATGTTTTCAGCTTTGGAGTTCTTGTTCTCGAGATCATCAGCGGCAGGAAGTGCATGGATGACACACTTCCTGTGGAAGAAGAAATCCTTGCGCAATGGGTAAAACATGATCTCAAGCTTGGTGTTTCTTACTTGTTTCTTCTGGTGGCAGGCTTGGAGCCTCTTTGGTGCTGGAAAGCTCGAAGAATTAATCGATCCTAGACTGGAAAAGTTTTACATCGCAGAAGAGGCTCACCGAGCCACGCACGTCGCATTGCTGTGTAGCCGAGAATTTGAAGGGAGCCGGCCAACGATGAGTGCCGTGGTTGCGATGCTCATGGGTTACCTCGAGCTAGAGCCGCTCACCACGGTAGACAGTCCCAACTACTTTGGACAGATTCGCCACCATGGTTGGACAACGACGACGACAACGACGACGTCTCAAACCGGCTCTTCTTACGCAGCTTCTCCCTTGACTGCTACGAGCGCACGCTAGTCAAAGTCTGCCACTCATTTCAAAGTCTGCCACCTTTCTCGAAGCCTGAAACCTGGTGTCTCGCACTTTTGTTAGTGGCGGAAAAAGTGTGGAAGGACTCACGCTATCGAAGATTTCGCAGCAAAATCAAAAGTGGCGAATCTCGGCAAAGATTGATCATATGTCCAAGTGAATTGTGTTTAAAGACTAAGTCAAGAAAGACTTCGAGCCAATCCCTAACGCCAATCTGTGCTGAGAGTCTGGATTTTTTCGATGGAGGTGAGTACTTGTGCTCTTCTTGGATGTAAGCCTAGATGCTAATCCTGAGCAGACAAAGAATGCGGAGCTCCTGGTGAACGGGGAGCTTGTCCTCAAGTCGCTCGACTGCTCGGCCAGGGCTTACAGGATTGCTGACAAGGGCGAACGGTTTTACCATGACGCTGAGGAAGAAACGGTATGGATCTCATTCCCAGGCACGGCAGTTCTAGAAGATGTGGTGGTGGATTCCGACTATGGGCTTTCACCACTCTGGGAAGGCCTGCAGGCACCAGCGCATTGGGGCTGCAACAGTTCCAGTGACTTGTTCTTTGAATCCCTGGCTCACAGAGGCTTCACAAGAAGATTTGCTGAAATCTGGAGAGATGGCAAACTCACGAACACCGTAAGTTGTTACTTATTTCCTTATCCCCTTCCGGATCGAGGTCCGCATTTGCAGATTGAGAAGTTGGAAGACAGTCAAAACATAATTATCTTCACAGGCCACTCACTCGGAGGCGCCATTGCAGCCCTGGCCACGCTGTGGCTTCTTTATCTCAGTCGCACCGCCACCGCGATCAAGCTCCACAAGCTGCGATTTGTGTGCGTCACCTTTGGGATGCCATTTGTGGGCGAGGTGAAGCTGAGCAAGCTTGCACAGAGTCAAGGCTGGGACGATCACTTCGTACACGTTGTTTGCAGGCACGACATCGTCCCCAGAATGCTCCTCGCTCCTCTCAAATCGACCTCACAGCGTTGGAGGGTTTTCTCAAGTCAGGGCAAGTGAGCTCGAATGAGAAAGAATTGGCACTCTTTGCAGGAAAGGGGAAATGATCTGTCACAGTGTGGGACAGACTAGGACCAACAAACGATCAGGGTGAGAGCAGCAAACCAGAAAAGTTCAAGAAGAAAAATAAGAATGATCGCTGTAACATTTGCAAGAAACCAGGGCACTGGGCACGAGATTGCACAGACGAAGAGGCCAAGAAAGCCAAGGAGGCGCGAAAAGCTGAGGCAAAGAGAGTGGCAGCAAGAAAGAACAAGTCGGCCAACTTTGCCAGGACAGCAGAAAGTAGCAAGGAAGACAACCAGGAGGACGTGGACGACCATGGGAGCGCTAGAACAGCAAACCCAGTCGGCGGAGAGGAAGACCACGGTGGTGAGCGCACTGTTGGCAGGACCAGGGCTAAAAATAGTGAGGGCAGTTTGAGACGTTCTGGCCGTGAGCGCGCACAGAGGCTGGGCGTCAATACAGGGAGCAGCTGGATATGCAAGCAGCTAAGCGGGCTTCTCGACAAGAAACCAAGGCTGCTAGAGACCGATCAGTGACAGTTCCAATTCCTGAGACCTCTTACGATCCAGTCTTTTATTTTGCCAACTCTAGCATGGGGAGCAAGGCGAGAACCAGCTTCTACTTCTCTTCAGCCATGGCCGAGATGCACTTCTCTTGCCGGATCTGATGCGGATCAGTGGCGCACTGCTCGTCAAGCTGAGTACAGCTCATTGATGGAGAACAAGACCTGGGATCTTGTGGAGCTGCCACCTGGGAGGAAGGTGATCAAGACCAAGTTTCTCTTGCGGCTCAAGACAGGACCTGATGGAGACACGTGCTACAAAGTCAGATTTGTTGCGAGAGGATTCTCACAAGTTGAAGGAGTTGACTTCTATGAGACCTTTTCACCAGTGGTGAAGCTTGCATCAATTCGACTTCTCTACAACTTAGCAGCTCACGAAGACATGCACGTCGAGCACATGGATGTAACGACGGCGTTCCTGAATGGCGACTTGGAGGAGGAAGTCTACATTGAGCAACCAGCCGGATTTATTGCCAAAGGACGAGAGCAGTTGGTGTGCAAGCTCAAGAAGGCCCTCTACGGCCTGAAGCAATCGCCTCGTGCCTGGTACGCAAAGATGAACTCGTTTCTTCTTGCCCTTGGCTTCGGGAGTCTCTCTGCAGACACTAATGTGTATATTAAGCAAGTGGGAGCTCTCCTGGTGCTGTTGGCTTTGTACGTGGACGACTGCTTGCTCCTCAGCAAAAGCAAGAAGCTGATTCATCAACTGAAGAAAGATCTCAGCTCGAGATTCAAGATGGTGGACCTTGGGAGCGTCAAGTATTGTCTTGGCATCCAGATCTTCAGAGACAGGAGGAAGGGCACACTAGAAATGTCTCAGAAGAAATATATTGAAGAGCTCCTCCAGAAATTCAAGCCTAGTGACGTCAACTCTGCATCAACGCTAATGGAAGTTGGCATGCACCTTAGTAAGGACATGGCACCTCAGACAGAAGCAGCGAAAGCAGTGATGGAGAGGATCCCGTACAGGCAGATGGTAGACAGTTTAGTCTACCTCATGGTTTGTACCAGGCCAGACATCGCCTATTCAGTGGGAGTGGTTTCACAGTTCCTGGCAAATCCTGGCTTCCAGCACTGGCAGGCAGTTAAGCGTGTGTTTCGTTACCTGAAGGGGACTGCCGATTATGTTTTGTGCTACACAAAACAAGAGCAGCCTCAACTCAAGCTGCAGGGATTCTCGGATGCAGACTGGGCAGGGGAAGTTGATCAGCGTAAATCAACTTCTGGCTACGTGGGCAGCGCAGCAGTTACATGGAGCAGCCAGCGGCAGCCAATCGTGGCTCTCTCGAGCACAGAGGCTGAGTATATCGGGATGACCCAAGCAGCGAAGGAAATTCTTTGGCTCAGGACTCTGCTGAACGGTCTAAGCTACGAGCAACGGGAGGCAACGGTTCTGCATTGCGACAATCAAGGAGCTATTGCCTTGACGAAGAATCCAAGATTTCATCGCAGGATAAAACACATCCAGGTTCAGTTTCATTTTATTCGTGAACAGGTAGCGGTGAAGAAAGTGGAACTCGTCTACTGTGCTACCACGGAGATGGTGGCAGATATATTCACGAAGGCACTTCCACCAGCAGTGTTCGCGCGACACGTACAAGCTCTGGGCGTGAAGAAAAGAAGTATCGCGAGCTCAACTTGAGTGGGAGTATTGAGGGAATATTCGTGTTCAGTTCTTATTAGTCAACAAGAGTAGGCCCCGGGCGTAGCGCCAGCAGCGGCTGGCATTCCAGAGTACATTCGTGATTTCCTATCCCGAATAGGAAAGAGTGCGGAGATGGTGACAAGCGTTGGTATCACTGGGCAAGGCGCAATTGGGAAGACGAGACTTGCCGAGGAGGTTTTCAACAGGATCTTGTTTCGTGAGGAATGTCCGGGAGGAGGTTAAGGGCCGTGGCACCAATGCCCTCTTTGTCAGGATTGTCAAAGACATCTCAAAGGTGGAACTCAGCGAGTCCAAAGCTCGACATTATTTGTTCCAGCAAAAGCGCCTGTCCAGCGTCAACGTCTTGCAGGTGCTTGACGATGTGGAAAGCCACGCCCAGCTCCTGAATCCCTCCTCTGGGACGTTCCAGCCGCGTGATTGTGACCAGCCGAGACAGAGACACCCTCGGGCGCCTCACCTTCATCCATGAAGTGGGTCAACTCAAGCACGAGGATGCAAGGATGCTTTTCGAGCAGCATGCCAAACTGGACGCCGGACTGGATCGAAGCCTGGTGGAAGAGATTGTGGGCGAATGCAAGGGCGTACCCCTGGTGCTCGAAATGGCTGGTTTGATGCTCCAAGGGAAAAGCGATGAGCGCGACTGGAGAGGCGCCAAGAGCAAGTTAAGCTCCTATCCAGAAGTTGTGGACAAGTTGCGCATCAGCCTGGAGCCGCTGCATCAAAGAGAGAGGGAAATCTTTCTCGACATTTGCTGCTTCTTTGGAGAGGTGAGCAGGGCAAGCGTTTGCTGGATCTGGGAAGCCATGGAAGACGTCGAGGAGAGCATGATGAACCATGATATCAAAGTCTTGTTGACAAGCACTTACTGCGGCTGGAAAGCTTGAAGTTGATGCCGTCTCACGATCTCATACGTGACGTGGCCCGCGAGGAAGTGAACAGGGAATCCCAAAGCATTGGAGAGAGGAGGAACTACAAAGACGCTGATAAACTCTTGACCAGAAGCATGGTAAGTTATGAGACGTGACTCAGCAGTTAATGTAGCTCCGGGTTCTTTTCCAGGTGACTCCAAAGATCAGAACAATGAGCTTATTTGGCAGCAAAGTCTCAAGACGAGACACACGCATGACTTTGGATGTACTGCCTTCGTCATTCATCTCCTGCCTCGAAGACAATATCAGCTTCTTGGACCTTTCTGGAAGCAACATCACCAGGCTTTGGGATGACCATCACGAGCACAAGGTAACAAGTCGCAAAAGGTTAAATCACCACTCATAAGTTCACCATTCATTTCAGGTGGTAATGGACAAATTGGTGGAGTTGATGTTGGATAAATGCAAAAGCTTGACAACCATCAAACAAGTGGAGCTATGCAAAGATATCAGAAGTATCTCGTTGAGATTTTGTTCCGCTCTAACACGACTTGCCAACTTGACTGAAAAGCTTGAGATGCTCGACCTTACCGGATGCAAAAGCTTGACTCTGCTACCAGACTTTCCCAGCCACTGCGGGATCCGAAGGCTATCTTTAAGGTGGTGTTCCAGAATTCAGGAGCTCCCTGACTCTATTGGCAACCTTGAAAGGCTGGAAACCTTTGATCTGGCTGGCACGTCAGTTTCTAGTCTCCCTGGGGCATTTGGCAACATAAAAAAGCTCGAGAATCTGGATATCTCCTTCTGCATGAGCCTTAGCTCATTGCCGACGTCGTTTGCTGGGCTGTCTCACTTGAAGTCTCTCCACATGTTTCGATGTGGTATCGTGAAGTTAAATCAAGGTTTTGGTGAGCTGAGGAGCCTTGTTAACCTCGACATGGCGGAGTGCTCGCAGTTTACAGAGCTCTCACCTGATTTTGGCAAGCTGGTGAGCTTGGAGGAGCTGATCCTCAAGAACTGTAAGGAATTCAGCATGCTCCCTCAAGGCTTTGAGAACCTGAAAAATCTGTTGAAGCTGGATCTCGAAGGATGTGCTCTTGTTCAACTGCCGGATGCTTTTGGAGGCCTCGGTTCATTGACGAGGCTTAACAGTGCTTATAGCCGGATCCAAGCCGTGCCTCTCTCTGTTTCCTATCTTGACAAAACAGAACAACTTCGGCTTGATCACTGCTTCCTATTAACCAAGGTAAGTGGGCTGCCAGGAGCACTGAAAAGCATACCCGGGCAACTCCGAGTTCTGGACGTGGGGGAGTGCTTTCAACTTGAAGTTTTGCGAGACCTGGGAGAGCTACACCACCTGGAGAAACTGATTCTATGCAATTGCATCAATCTCAAGGAAATACATGGTGTCGACAGACTATCAAGCTTGACTTCACTCAACTTATCTGGCTGCTGCAAACTTTCCAATTCCAACGTTCCAGGGCTTAGCGAGTGCAAGTCATTACAACGTCTATACCTCAGTGGTAGCAAAGTTCACATCTCCCCCAATGATTTGGAGGTATGTCGTTTCTTTTCATGGCGTATTGACTCACCTTGATTATCCTTATGAAGGTTCTATCCCAGCTGCAAACCATAAGCTACTACTCGTCCAGATTGACTCCTGGATGCAAGAATCAGCTGGCAGTTCCTGTTCACTTAGATAACTCTCAAGCAATAGAGCCTCTTGTGCCAATGAAGGACGTGATACTACTGGAAGAGACGGTTTCAGGTTTCAAGCCAGTTCAAGCAATTGTGATCCAACTGGTGGCACACGATCAAGGATGGTCTGATTCTGAACACCTGCATGGGAGGTATACTGGAAATTCTTATTTTGAAGTCCGAGTATCAAGAGGGGGTACACCTACACCATTGTTTTCAACAGACACTCGGATGGTCGTGACCAGCTGCATATATGCCTCTTCCGGAACAATCTTCCAGGTTTTATGGATTATGGGATATGTAGGTTCTTGGGGTGGCAGCTGAGAGTGAAGGAGGCCAAGATGAAGATTTTTTACGATCGTGCAGGCACCGCAGCTGGTTTGTTTTCTCACGACCCACAGTTCATGGCAGAGTTGAAATGGCAGCACTGGCGGTACACTGTTGCAGACTGGCTCCCGTGCTGGTTTGAGCTGCGCAAACTTGCTGCCCTCGACTTGGCACATACCGAATTTATGTTTCTACAGTGGGATAACAAACAGTTGGTAGTGGAGAAAGTGGTGAATGAACAAGAAGAAGAGTCTGTCAACTTTCCTCGATACAGACATGTTAAAGTCTCAAGCGCAGAATTCCGACAGTTCTTTAATTCGTGTGCCACCGTGAGGAATTCCATGGCACACCCTTGGCTCGATCTGGGTGCCCTTTCTAGGCACGGGTGGTCCCAACAGTTGAGACGTCCGAAGCACTTGGCCGAAGGCCCGATTTGTGTGTCCGAGATATGGTTCCAACTCAAGATGGAACGGGATGAGTGTTTCCAGGCTCAGGAGTGGCCAAAACGATGGCACAAACGAGATCAGTGTCCGTTTTTCCGGCTGGCATACAGATCCCATCTACATTCGGGGTGCAAACTTGGTGGACGCAGGCACTTTAAGAAGGGCGATGCAAATGCTCATCTCTTAGAACAAAATGGTGGCTGGCATATCTTATACAGCACCAACGTCATGCAGTTTTGCACCCTCAACTTGTCTACAAAGACTGGTAAGAAGGTTTTGTAATAAACTTTTTCGCTTAATCCAAACACCATTCATACAACGATCATGAAACATTGTTTTTCAATTCTCTGGCCTGTTATCTACCGATCTGTGCTGATAATCCCTTCACTTCCTCCACTTCTTCCTGCCATACCAATAAGCTACCCAAGACACCGCAACAGCGACCACGATCCCCGCCCCGACCTTGAATCCGCTGTGCTGCAACAAGTCCGAGGCAACAGCCGCCATGGCTCCTCTCTCGTCGTCAGTGGCAGCCATGGTCGAGACGAGCGAGTCGGAAGAAGTGGCCTCGCACAGCGCCAGCGCAAACTTTATCCCCTGCCCCGCCAGGAGCTGCACGTCCTCCACCATCGGCCTCTTCCTCGCCACCACCGCGAGCGCAGCATACTCGCTCTTGGAGCCGCCCTCGAGGAACGCTCCCACCAATCGGCCCCTGTCCACCCAGTAGGCTCCAAACTTCTCCGACTTGAGATCGCCAAACAGCAGGCACTCGCCCGAATTGTCGCCGAAGAACTGCCACGAGAGGCTGAAGACGCGGGAGTAGAAGTATGGGAGGTAGTCGTAGTCCTTGGCTCGCTCCGGATGCATTATGGATTCCACTGCGTGCGCTGCCGACTTTCGGGCGTGGTCGACGTGCTCCAGCCGCCGGACATCGCCATACATCTTGAGCGGGAATGCCGCGACGTCGCCGACGGCGTAGACTGTGCTGTTGCTGGTTCGCATCTTGCCATTCACTTTGATGCCGCCTTTCTCCATTGTGAGCTGACCTTCGAGCAAGGTGGTGTTTGGACGGATCCCCACGCCAACCACGACTAGATCGGCCGGAAGCCGGGTTCCATCTTTCAGGACAACGGCTGCTACCTGGATGCGCAGCAGGAAAGCGATGTTAGAGAGGGCGATCGAGACGAGTTTCGTTTTACCTTTCCATCTATGTCGCTCTCGAACGTCGACATAACAGTGCCTTTGACAAAAACCACGCCTCTCCTTGTGTAGTAGTCCTCGTAGAAGGTGGCGATTTGAGGCGTGAATAATCGAGCAACTGCGAAAGAAGGAAAAAAGAAGGTTTTTGCGTAACGAAAGAGAAAGGATACGTACTGCAATGGGATTCCGGGAAGACCATCGTTACGTGGACTCCATTAGATACCAAAGCCGCTGCGCATTCCATGCCAATGTAGCCACCGCCGATCACCACAGCCTTGCCGCCGCTGCAGCTCTGCATTGCCTCGACAAGCTTGGTTGCATCGTGGAGGTTCCTGAGGTAGAAGATGTTTCGAGCGTCGGCGCCCGTGACCCCGAACTCCTCCAGTCTCAGCACGCGAGCACCAGTGGCGACGATGAGCGTGAGATAAGCGATTGTTTCCTTGGCACTGGTGAGCAGCGTTTGTCGTTTCAAGTCGACTGACACGACTTGAGTGTTGAGCAGTAGCTCGATTCCTGGATAATCACAAATTTTTTTATCCTTCCTACCAAGAGAAACTCATACCGTGCTCTTTGTACCATCTTGCAGTTAATCGCTCAGCTCCAACACCCACGCAGGTATGGAATGCAGGCAATCGAACAGCGCCTGGAAATTGAAATACTTTCAATATAAAAAACAGTTTTTTTTTTTGTCTTCAGAAAAAAATGCCGAAAACGAAGAACACCACAAGCAAGAAGATAGAAGAGAAGAAGAAAGAAGAAGAAGAGAAAGAACGCACGCCGAAAGATTGGATGGCAAGCTGCTGCGATCAAAAGATCAAGGCAGTGTACCTTCAGGAAGCAAGAAGCCCTTGCTGAGTGCCGGTCTTTCATACGGGGCAACCTGCACAAGCAAGCAATCAAACAAACAAGCGCGCGCTTAAAATCCCTGGCACGAATGGGAAATCCTCGTCAATCAATCAATCAATCACACACTCCCCTGCTTAGAGAAGAAGAAGAAAGAAAGAACAAAAGGGAAAGCACTCACAGCCTCGTCGGTGATGATGCACAAATCTCCCGCCGGTATGCCCAGCCTGACGAACTCGAGCGCCGCGTAGCCCGCCGAGACGCCGCCCCCGAGAATCACAAATCTAAACGACCGCCCCATGGTCTCTTCTTTGCTCTTCCCCCAAATTTGCAAAACCCTCGCAATCTTTAACAAGTGGTGAGTGGCATTTTGGTTGCTTGTTCACTCAGCTCAGCTCAGCCGCCATACTTGTTATAGCAACAACGTATCCCCGCCTGCTATTTATAGAAAAAATACGTCATTCATTTCCACTTGGAATGCTTGCGATGCCGGGTTAAAAAAGAAAAAACGCACTTTGCATGTACTAAAAATCGAACCTTTACAGGGTTTCCGTGAATCTTTCGAGTTTCTTCGGTCCGTCTTGATTCTTGCCACAAGAACAAAAGAGATGTTGGAAGAACTTTTACCATGATCGAGTTTTGTAGTGATCACTTGCAAAGCGATGCCAGAACACGCCGCGGAGGAGTGAAGGGTCTTCTCGCATGAAGCACGGCCAAGTTGTCGATGAGGAGAACATCGCCGCGGCACCACGGGATTGCCACGCTCAGCTCGTGTATAATATCCAGGCACTCCAAGACTGCTGCTCTCGGCAAAGGACTGCCATCGCCAAACACCACTGCGCGCTCCGCAACGTTTCGCGCGTCCTCCCAGCCCGTGTAGGCCGCCACCATGCTGTTGAACCAGATCTTCCTGCCGTGGCTTTTCTCGTTTTTGATTGCTGGGATTGGTCCTGATATCGTCTTGAGGCAGCCATCGTCGAGCCATTCGACTTGCATTCCCAGCTTCGCAGCCCTGAGAGATGGATGCAACATGAAAAAACTTTTGCAAAGAAAAAAACGGTGGAGCTACGTACTTGGCTTGCGCTTCGCTTTTGTCTTTCGTCAAAAAAGTCGATTGCCAGCCCCGTCCAATGGGAGAAGATGGATCATCACCTTCGCCGAGAACTCGGATGTAGAGAAGGCCTTTGTCCTCCAGATCTTTCACAAACTCGGGGAACTTGGAAGCCATCTTATCGTAGATTAAATGGCTGAGCACTATCGGAGTCTCACCACCTTCTTTGGCCTCCACCTCACAATAAAAGAAGAGCTTTGACGGATACTCTGGAACCTGAAAAATTCGCTGGTTTGTGAGTATCAACATCTAGTCACTGCAAACTTTACAAACTCTAAAATTCTTGAGAACAGACACGCGAGTAAAGAAAAGAATCAAAGCAAGCAATAGAAAAATCCAGAAGGAAACATTGAAAACACCAAAGAAAGAAGGAAAACCAACCTGTGCCATCTCATGGTGGAAGGGAATTTTTTGATCCGGAGGGGACTCATTGGAAGTGAAGACTCTCCCTACCACGTTTGTTCTCGGGGCCGCTCCACCAACGTAGGGCAGCTCCTCGTACCCAAATTCCCTCACCACCGCATCGAAATCCGCGGCGCTGTCCACGCCAAATCCCCTGAAAAGAACAGCGCCACTCACAAACAGCTGCTCCTCGATCCAATCCTTGTGCTGCCGGATCCACCCCCTGAAGCTGCCGACATCGCAGCTCGCCGCCGATGGAGCCAGAATGCGAGGGAACTGGACGCCATCGAAGACGCGAGGCGGTGGCAGAGCCTTGAAGGCGCTGGGAGCCAAACGACCCATTTTCGCGACCTAGCTTTCTTTCACGCCCTCGTGAAGCCCATCCAAAACGAAGAATCAAAGCATATCCTTGCTTACAATGTACCTGGACTAGAAGTATTCCAGGGGAGAAATACGGAGCGCTTTAAGTGCCCGGAGATCAAACATCCGTTGTAGTCTAGTCGGTCAGGATATTCGGCTCTCACCCGAAAGACCCGGGTTCAATTCCCGGCAACGGAACCTATATTTCATTTTGACCTCGTAAGAAATATCCGCCTTTTGACCTTTTTTACTGGAAGAATATACGTTTAGGGTTCTTGAGGAAATTTCACTTTTTCCAAGGGCATGGCAAGCAGCGCAGTGCACAATTTGTGCCTCCCTTCCTCGTCTACTGCTGACAGGAGATTATCGCTCGGCTCGGGGCGTGGATTAGGTGCCGCGGGCCGGCAGGGCTCTCGATTCAAGACATTGCGTGTGGCGGCATTGCGGCAGGACGGAGGAGGAGACAGGGACGATGGTTTCTCGGGTAAGAGGCTCTTTCTATTCCTCCTTGCCCTTCATTCTATCCTCCCTCGCTTCCTCCATTCCAATCTGACTGACAGGCGATAGATTCTCTCCAGGTGACGAGCCTCCGGAGTCGCTCTTCATGAAGGAGCTCAAGCGGCGCGGCCTCGCTCCGCCAACAAAGTACTCTGGAGCTTCCACCGAGACCAAAACCAAGCGCGAAGAATTTGGCAGCGGCGAGGATAGTAGCGACACCGCTCAATCATTCAAGTCTTCCACTTCTTCATCTTCTTCCTCCTCGAATTCCTCCGAGTGGAGGGATGATAGGAGTGGTCAGCTGAAGCGAACGCTGGCGCTCAATAGCGAAGGCCTTGACGTGAGTTCTCCATTCCCATGCAAACCTTCGATAACTTTCCTTTACCAGGGACTCATACCGCGAGCTCAGGAGCTCATCAAGCTCGGCGCGACGTTTTTCCTCGCCTTCTGGCCGCTGATCATTGCGATTGTCGCGCTCTTTGTGGCCATCTATCTGGTGAGTTCATCCATCATCTATGGAGAAAGTTACGATTTTGCTTGGTTTTCTCTGCAGTACTTTGGTCCATCCTTTATACACGAGGGAGACCTTCATGGCGGAAAGCCTCCGTACGTGGATCCTTTCCAGCTGCTAGAAGAAGAATCGCTGTCCAAGGAACCGGGATTATCGCCGTATGTTCGCTGAGAACTGGCATGCGTGATTGATTTATCTATAGGGGACTTGTACAGAACATATCGCTTCCATATCCAGGAATGTTTATTTTCTCAAGCAGGTAGTTTGTATATCGGGATTTTTCAATCGTCGTGCGCAAGTTGTCTGACGTGATCGATGTGTGATCTACTTCTTAACGTCAATTGTCTTTGCATCTTGATAGCTATGGATCAAGGTGGATCCGGACCAGTGTGCAAGGCAAGTGAATGAGACGACGTTATGGTTTCTTATGAGATTTTTATTTTTTATTTTTTTTTGCTTCCAGGGTGTTCGAATGTTTGTGAATGTAACTAGCGGAATCTCGTCAGGCCTGAACGTTACAGTGCTGAAGGGAATCTGTCGACTCCTCGGTTACGAGTTTTTGGAGACGATCGAGCACTATTTGGTGGGAAAATTTCCCTTGACTACTGAGCGTTTCTTTTTAATTTTTAGGAATGCTCACCATGCCAAAAGCTGGACGACGCGCGGCTCACGAAGAACTATTTACAAATCGACAACCACGAGGAAGAGAGCCGGCGATTGACAAGCACTGTGGTAATTCGAGCCGCTCCAATCGCGAGAAGCTCCCAGTTACATCACGAGTAGTGGAACACAGAAAATTCTCTTGACAGATACAAGCATGATAGACAAACTTGTACGTACGTAGACGCGTAACTCACATTTATTCTTTGGATGACTCCAACGTTTCCAAGTCAGACATGGAGCTTGACTGTCTTGCCACCGAAAGTTTTTGGATCACTCGCAAGATCAGGACTATAAGGCGTAGTTCCATTCGGACCCAAGACACCCAGAGTACCTGCGATGCAAAACGATCAAAGCCGGATATCATATCACACAAGTGAAAACTCTCAGCGCTGATCGATGAGCTTTGATCACTGACCGGATGATACGAGCTCCTTCCGGAAGCTGTAGGCCTCGAAGCGCAAGTGGCAGCGGTCGTCGGTGCCGTTGATCCAGTAGCGAGCGCCGACGGTGAGAGGAGCTACTTGCTGGATGTCCGTGTAGGTGTGCTTGATACAGTCCGAGCAGCCCTGCTGGTCCGCCATGCCGTAGCAAGCCGAGTGCGCGTAGGCGGTGTCGGGAAACTCGCCATAGCCGAGACATGTCGCAAATCCATCGGGGGGAGTAGAGGAGTAGAGGAAGCGGATGACGAGCTCCAGATTCTTGAGGAATGGGCTGCCTCGAGTGGTTCTGGCGGTGTTGAAGTAGATCACTCCAGGGACTGTGTCCTTGTTGGGGATGTCTGGAGGGAATTGGATTTGCGCACTGGCGATGGAGAGAACAAGCTCACAAACGAGGAACCAAGCGCCCAAGGAGCTCCACTTTGCTAGCATTTTGCGACACAGTGGCTAGAATCTTTCCGGTACTTGACTTGACTCACAGAAAAGATTGGATCGAAGAAAACTTGGGAAGTGAACAAGAAGGTCTGGATGGTGTAGTTGGTCATCACGCTAGTCTCACACACTAGAGGTCCCCAGTTCGAACCTGGGTTCAGACATAATTAATTTTTTTTATTAAATGTTTTTCTCGTGATAGTGTTCAATTGTGCCTCAACCTCTTTCTGGAAGTTCCATACCGAGATAGTTTTCCTCATTTTTTTTCCTGGAAGTTCCATCTCTTTCTCAAGGATTCCTTTCGATAGATTTCCAGTGAATTCCACCAAGCTATGTGTTTTGCGACTTGTGAGCGTAGAGATTGGAAAGCATGACATAAGAGGTAGCGTCCCCTGGCTGGAGCTTCCGGAGATTGAGAGAGCTACACTGTGCCTGCCTGGCCGAGCTATGAGTCTTGCAAGCACCCAGGAAAGTTTTCCACGCCACCACACTGGATCCCAGCGTCTTCTCCTCGGCTAGCAGCCTCTCCGCTTCGTCTAGCCATCCAACTCTGCCCAGGAGGTCCAGCAAGCAGCGGCGGCAGTGCTCGTTGCTCTGGGACAGATCGTAGTCACTCACCATGGATCCGAAGTATTGAGCAGCCTCTTCCAGTTCACCGCCATGGCTACACGCATGAAGCAAGCTCACAAACGTAACCTCGTCCGGCGACTCTCCCTCGACCGCCATGGCGTGGAAGACCTCCTTGGCACTGCTCACGAGCCCCTGCTGGACGTAAGCTGCGAGCATTGCTGTCCACGATACCCTTGTCTTGGCCGCTGCGATTCGATCGAAGAACTTTCGAGCTCGAGGCAAGCTCCCACACCTCGCAAGCATGGTCACCATCGCATTCGCCAGCACCACCGCGTTGCTCGAGTCGACCCAGCTGCTCATCCTCGAAACGATCCTGGCATGGAGCTCCATTCCCCGGGCAAGATCTCCAAGCTCGCCACAAGCTCCAAGCAACACAATGTACGTTACCTCGTTCTCCTCCACATTCGCGCCTTGTTTGTACAGATCTAGCGCTGTCCGGCTATGTCCGTTCTGGGCATATGCCGATAGAAGCGAAGTCCACGAAACCGCGTCTCTCTCGAGCATGGAATGGAAGAGGCACGCCGCGCCCTCGATGCTGCCGAGCCGTCCATACAAGCCCAGGAGAGAGTTGGCCGAGATCAAGTTCATCTTTCCTCTGGCTTGAAGACGCTGGTGGATTGCCTTGCCTTGGGACAAGCTCTCGCAAGCAGCGATGGCGATGACAAGAGTGGCTTCGTCCGGAGCGAGGCCTTCCAGATCCACGCGGTGATACAGCTCTAAGGCGCGCCTCCTCTGGCCAGCTTGAACCAAGGCTGTGATCATGATCGTGTAGGAGAAGATGTTTGGCCTTTGGATCCCATCGAAGACCTGCTTCGCGTCTTGCAAGCTCCCGCAGGTGCCATACATTTGGATCAAGAGGTTGGAGAGGAATGTCTCGCCGCCCAGGTCGCCATTTAGGATTTGCGCGTGGAGATGCCTGCCGCAAGCGAGTTGTCTTGGCTCGTCACACTCTCGGAGTAGCATTGCAAATCTGGTGCACTGCTGGAACTTTGTCAGGGGACCCATATTGTCCCGGTAGCATCAGCAAACTTTCTCGAATTTAAAATTTTCGAGATGACTCTATAGCAGGAAATCAACATTAATTATGTATCACTGTTTATATATATAAGAATTCTTTATACAGTGAAGGAATTTGATAAAGGAAGTCTTGGTTACGGCAAAAGGAACGCCCAAGGAACAGCTTTAACAGGTTGTGGCACATGGCATAACGTTATTTGAGGATGAGAGGGTTCTCTAGAACTTGGCTGCTGGCAGCCAGGTTCTAGGAACTTGGCAATCGTCAGCCAACATTCTTGCAGAGAACTTAACTCAATTCAATGGCTGCCAACAGCTGGATTGAGTTAATGGGTGAGCCAAAGTTTATTAAGGCTGTTGAAAAACATTTTCCCAATGGAAGAGGAAATATTTTCCCAATGGGAGAGGAATGTATATAATGGGCATCTACATAGTTTTTAACTATGAGTTAAAGTTTTATGCATTTCAATTAGATTCATTGTAGGATGGGTGATATCAGTAGAGGTATGCTTAAATTAATTAGTTCTCGCTTTTATAATTTTTCCATTTTTCTTTTAAGAGAAGGTATGTAAAATTCTTTATAAAAAAAGGATTGAATAATTCTTTTTTTTTTTTTTTGTTAATCAGCTATGGTCAACCATCTTGCCAAATATGAAGATTCCACATATTTTAAATGTACTTAAGATTTCTTGTGATACATAAAAAAGACAATCTAACAATAAGTTCTCACCAATATATTATCAATATCAAATAGCCAAAACAAGACAAAAAAGACCATGTTCATTAAAAAAAGAGATTGTAAAGGATGTTCACAATTTAATTGATGATAACAAACTTGAGGAACACATAATTCTATCATGCAAAGTTTCCTTTCCAATCTAAATAAAAAGAAGTGATAGCAAGCTTGCAAAATCAATTAAAATCAAAACTTATTATATCCATGTATAATATATTTTCCTTTTAAAATTCTTTTACCTTTACTATGGCATTATAAATGTATGATAAGCACCTTTAACATTCATGAAAAATATTTATGTTGAAATTATCTATGGAAAGGAGGTTGATTATGAATATCTAAAGGTATGGTCCACCATTTTTTCTGCTAATCAAAATAAAAAACAACTTTTGAATATAGTCAATAAGAAATATATGAAGCAAAGCCAAAAAAGTAATAATAATTAGAGCTGAGCAATTAAGCATATAAGGATGTTATACTAGCCATCAAAAGATTTGAAATGCATTTTGAATATATTTGGATCTCACTATTAAGTGTATTATTGCTTAATAATTGGATAATAAAAGAGTATATAACTCGTGTATTAACAGAAAAGAAAAGGATTACAAAAAAAATGTATGATATTATTTATTAGTTGAAGTTCATAATTAAAACTAATTATCTACTTTTATTTTTTCTTTTATATATGTTGGTGATAGTTTTATACCATGCTGATATATAGTATTTGTCATTCTAACTTTTCTAAGTGAAAAAGTTGAGGTGATTGAAGTAGATGTTAAAGCAAGGGTTGAGACTTTAGATAATGCAATAACTTCGTTAAGCTCAATTAATCTTGGCTTTTCCATGAATTTCTTAGCCTCCTCTATTAAATTTAATTCTTTAAACTCTAGGTTAAAATATTTATTAACTTAAGTTAAATACAAATTTATAAGATTTACATCTAGTTATCATGAATAAATCCCTAGAACACATCCCTTCCTCATTATATAGTACGTGTAAATTATGTTGTTTATGAGATCATTGTTTGTGAGTTTATGACAAATTAGCAATCTAAATGTACAAATAATAATTGAGTTTTAAGATTGTTAACACCTTTAACATTGTCTTATACCACTTACCAATGTGAAATAGTTTCGCTTACTAATAAAAAGTAGGTAAAATCAATCACAAACTAATTTGCAAATTGCAAATCTTAATTTAAAATTTTAGGGCTTTATGGTACTCAATATTTCCTAACTTACAGATAACATTAATCACTAAAGAAAAACATCCACCTATATAGAGAATGTCTTCTTATATGAAGAAAAAAATGAATTTGAACAGTAAAGAGGTCTTAATAGCTTCTTCTATCTAGAATATATTTGTGTATTAGGAGGTAAATCTCTTTGGTGGGAGTTTCGTCAAAAGAAAAATAAAATATATAGTCAAGATAAAATATATTAGTTTCCTCTCTTACCAGTAGAATTATTAGGAGAAATTTTGACCTGTCAAGAAAATTTCCCAATGAAAAGAAGAAAATTTCCTCATTATCCCATGTTATGGAAATTCCCAATTTTCTTATTTGTTATAGAAAATTCCCTTTCATTGGGGAATGACCATTTCACATAGACAATTTCATTATCCATATCCATTGGGTAGATGTTAGAAGTTCTTAGGAAGTCTGAATATAAAAATATTATAGACCACTACAAAAGGATTGCAAGATTGAATCAGAATGTAAATCACTATCAGAATGTAAACCTTTTCGATTCACTATGGCATTCTAGCTATTCTACAATAATCAATATTCATGTAAAAAAGACTGACATGGATCACTCTTGCCAGCTGGAAATTTATATACATACTAAGCATATGCCATTCACATGTACCTTGTATAGATCAATCTGTTCAAAAGGGGTACATGTAAAGATTCTACCCAATGTTAACTCATCTTCCAACCTTTTAGAGATATCCAACCTTTTTGAATATGAGTGAGACCTTTTGGATGTCCAGCCTTTTGGATATCCAGGTGCGCAAGCCCATGTGCCTAGTTGGCTTAATACAGTGATCCAGTTTATCTCTTAATTTCAGTCATGGTTGGGGCCATGTATGCATGGTGGATGTGACAAGCATGAATGGACTAGGTCCAGGTTCTAGCTTGAGTTTGGGGCTGGGTGTCGCTAGAGCTCTGGAAGGTCAAGCTCCTAAGTGCATGAGCTCAGGGTCTCAAGGTGTCCATGCTTGATTAATTAATACAAATTTGACAAAAAATTCTGGCAAAAATTTCATTATGCAAAATTTAAATTGAATTCTTTCAATTTTGAAATCTAAGTATTTCATGAATTCCACGTCCACACATAATTTTTAATTGAAATTTCTATGAAATTTCTCTAAACAAAGACCTATGATTCCATATTGATTCTTAGCATTACATTTTCAATCACCTCACTTAAAAGAAGAGCACTTTTTCTTCTTGCTATCTATCTATCTTCTTCTTTTCCTGGAATGGCTGTTTATGCTTTTTCGCCTGTTCCTTCCGCTCCTCCTGCTTTTCATAGAGTCGGATGAAGACTTGGGCTCTACACATTACAGAAACGACTCATGTCGTAGTTTGGACTGGAATTTGTGGTTGAGGACGTCCATCCTTCCTAAGAGTCCTTCATCACGCAGCCGCCACATTTGAGACTTCTTCAAAGATGGTTCTCTAGCATGAGCAGGTGTTACAAAGTCAGATAGTCGACGGCCAAAGGTATCAAAAGTAGGCCCAGCCTATGGCTCCTTCGGAGTACTGCCTAACCAAAGCAACCCATGAAAGAGGTTGAGAGGCCCTGGCGCAGGGATGGCAAGTTGCTAATGCATTCAGCCAGTCGGCTCTACAGGTTGACAAATCCGGTGGTTTGTGTTTTGCCACATGTGCTCCCCGCAACCACTTGATCCAGATCGTTTACGTCATCCTCCATCTTTGCATGTTGTTGCTCAACAAGGCAGTTACTGAATTGAATAGCTGCTTGTTCGCTTTCAGGAGGCCACTCCAACAGCTTCTCTCACGTTGAGGTTGTGAGACCGACAATACTGTAGCACTGTAACCTGGAAAGCCTCGTCCAATGACTTCATCACAGCAGATTAGTGGCCTTGTATCTAGATTCGCCCCAATGAAAGGAAGCCCAGCCAGATGTCTCTTATGGTTCTCCTTCAGACTTTTGAAAACGTAATAGGATTTTAGATGGCGCCACGCATCTCTCGAAAGAATGACTCCAAGTTGACGTACGAGGATCCTCCGGGGCCTGCGGCCTCTCTGGCTGCATTCTCCAGCTTCCTTACATTCATCCTGAATTCTAGGATTTTCTCCTTGTCCATGAAGTCGCTCAGCTTCTCTGCAATCTCTGCTCTCTTGAGAAATTTACTGAAGGCGCCGAGTCTCATTCCGATCTTCCAGTCCTCGGACATGAGTTTGCAGTTGAGGCTTTGATCGCTGTGTCGGGGCCAACCGAGCATTGGTACACCGTTGCAAATGCTCTCAAAAGTAGAATTCCATCCGCAATGCGTCAGAAAGCCTCCGATTGAGGGATGAGCCAGGACCTTGAGCTGAGGCGCCCATGCAACAAAGCAGCCCTGATCTTTTGTGAGTTCTGTGCATTTCTGGTACAAGTCGCATCTACCATTCAGGACTGTGTCCGGCCTCAGCACCCATAAGAATTGTTGCTTGCTTGCAGCCAGGCCCTCCATAAATTCTTCAAACTGAGCCTCAGACAATGAGGAGCAACTTCCAAAGGAGATGTATAGGATTGATCTTGCCGCTTGCGTCTGTAGCCACTCTAAGCATCCATGTTCTTCATGTCGAAGGCTTGTTTTGATTTCCCCCGACCCTGTCGAAGTTAACGGAAACAATGGACCTATAGGTAAGTACCGAGGTCCTATTGTCTGCTTCATAGCATCGAAAGTGTGGGGCTCTAGCTCGTAAAACGAATTGACCAGCACCCATGTTGCATCTTTCATCTTACCGGGGTGCTTCGCCCAGCCTTCTAATGTTTCCTTCTCCATATGGTGCAGATATTCAGGAAAGTCCTCCAACTTTGTAGGGAAAGGCCAGGCACATAGTCGATCACGCGCTCTGGATCTGCAAAAATCGAAAGGCGCTAACTCGGGTGCTTCACAGATGGAAGGTTTAGTACCTCTAAGAGGGAAAACTCCTTTGGAGGCGAGCAGACACAGATGATGGCTGATAGAACTCCAAGCAGCATTGCCAGGGAAATAGCTCACTGAAGGAAGTCCAAACTTCTTAGCAATTGGTTTACTCCAGAAAAGGGATTCATCAGCAAGTATGCAAGAAGGTGCTGGCTCTAGTCTTGGTACCAGTGCCTCAAATTCGTCTCTCAACTTTGACATCAGGAGTTGATGAAATTCTACTCTTTTTTCATGCACGGAAGCATCATACCCGAAGGGAATATCTTCTGGAAATGGGAGAGCCTCAAATTGGATGCGTTTCCCAGCTGATGATGGATCCCAGCTTTTCAGCAGCTGTTTGTGGATGCTTTCGATGTTGAAAATGGTAACTCGTATCCCATTTGCAGCCAGTACCTTTGACAGATGCAGAAGCGGAGGGAGATGGCCCTGTGCAGGGTATGGAAGCACAAGAACATGAGTCTTATCTTCGGCCGCCATGGAAAGGAGTACTAAACTCTCTGGGGAGAGACGAAGTCCTAGACACTGTTGGTGGGGAGAGATGGTTTCGGTCCATCTTAAACAATGTGGGTGAGTGTTGCGTGGTTTCCTTCGTGTCGTTTCTTTTTCTTGTCCACTCGTAAACTGTAAATGCTCAAGAGCATTGATTTGAATCCTGACAAACAAAGACCAGCAGCCGTCATATCAGTAATACAAGAATGTTTTATAAAGTTATTTAAAAAAAAACATAAAATGAGTGAAGCATAGGAAAACACGCCGGCAAATTTTCGACCAATGATTCTTTTCGCCACGCTCTAGGTTAAAAGATGAATTTACTCAAAACAACCCATTTCGATTGCATGCGGAGTTTTCATTTTCCCATGTGTTGAACTGGGTGTGCGGGAGAAGAAACACCATGAGGAGACGTGAGTTTTCTCTCTCGAGTTACACACTTGATAATCAAGCTCATTGATAATCAAGCACAAACTGGTGCTGAGGCGCAAGGTTTATCGCTGCAGCGCCAAGTTCTCCCACCAGATCATGAGCAAAACGAGAGCGAAGAAAAAGTATATTCCATCTTCGAGCAAACTGAGTTATACCCAGAGAGAATGCCATCCGCCACGTTTTCCTGTAGACCAACAAAGGTTTCTAGTTAAAGGGGGTCTTTTTTCTAGAAGATGACATTCTAATTTACCTTTCTTGTTTAACAAACTTCATGCAAACAGGTTGTGGCCTCTTGAAAACTCCAAGCTGTGCAACTTACATGGACACACTAAGGAGTTCTGGTGAGCTCTTTGGCATTTTTTCTTAGTTTCCCTAGACGAAAAGATCTTGGTGTGTCCACCTCCACAGAATTTGGCCAGCCATCGCTTCTGCCTACTGATTCTCAGCCTGGAGATAGCAATTTCACAGCCAGAGGTAGGGCTCGTTCCTGGCAGGGTCTCGCGAGGTAATTCGAATTGGCCACATTGACAACCAACCATCCTAGTCATCCTGAAAATGTGGGCGTTGTGCCAAGTAAGCTGAAAACCTTGGGGTCGCTGACGCTTGACCCGTAGTGCTAGGTCAACCCCACCGTGGCTTGGTACCCAAGGAGGCCCGATATCTTTGGCGCCATAGAGTGAGTTGGCCGAGATCAAGGTTTATCTTTCCTCACGCTGGTGGATTGCCTTCAAACTCTGGCAGCGAGCGATGGCATGCCTGCTGCGTACATTCCCAGACTGCATCGCAAATCTGGCGGAGCTTTGTAAGGTTCCTAGAGACTTGGCGCTTGTAAGAAACGACCGAAAGATTCCAAGGATTCAATGAAGAAACCTCGATATCCAAAGAGCCTCACCATGGATTTTAGGCGATTCCTGGCGCCGGATCGCCATACTTGCCCAGAATCTTCCCATCAGTATCCATTCGTACTTGTGGATTTTTTTTTCAAAAAATGGATGGATTTAACAGCAAATGAAACCAATCAAGATGTGGACGTTAGATCTTGCTTCACCTGATATATAGAAGCGACTATGTTCAGGAAGTGAAATCTCCCATTACCAAGACAAAATATGTAGATTCTATTTTTAAAAGCTTCGAAGTGATTACTGTATTGATGCTATTTGTGATGGATAGAGTAGTATCCTAAGAATTACAACCACTTCCATCATTAGGACCATCCAATATAGTCATCACTTCCAAATACTAAATCATGCTAAGAAAAACAAAAAAATTCTATAGGGCTTCTTGAGTAGCCCTGGCTGCTATAATCTGAAATGTTTGCATGTTTTTCATTCTTGCGACGGGGAGATTGTGAGCGGAATCTTTTGCATCCTGCATTATTTAGAGCTTTAAGCTCTTAATGTTTAATTTTAAAGTCTCTTTGAAATCACTCTAAGCAATTTCAAAAAAGGATACCTTACCATTTAAGCTTTTTGATTGGAACGGCGAGTTTAGCGATTGACCTGGGCGACGAGTAGCGTTGAGAGATGAGAACTAAAGCAGTGTTTGCTGCATGCTAACCTTGTAAAACTCTGCATTTGTAGGACACCTTGAGCGGTGGAAATGTATATGCTTCCATGCCCATTCATCTGCCTTGGTTTTGCTCAGCTTCCACAGGCGAGTCTCGTTGTATGCATCCACATACCCAGCCAGTGGTGTGCCAATGGCTTGCATGAGCCTCGTGTACGTCACGAGAGCAGCGTCGCCCGACAGGAGCAGAACTTTGGGAGCCGCAATCGTGGAGACTCTTTGCAAAGAGTTCCCTGATTGTCTCATGTCGAAGTAGAACTTGTGGAATGGGAGTCCCTCCACCAATTGCCCTGTTTGGATCTACTTAGTCCGCGAGCAAGAAGAAAGATTTAACAAAAACCATGCCTTGTGCTTCTGGTTCGAATGCTGTCAATTCAGTGTCACAAAGTTTCTCGTACGTTCCATAGTCCCCGCCGTCAATGGCTCGCAATAGCTCCTCGGAGAGCTCAAGGAGCTCATTCTACACACGAATACGAAAGGTCAGCACCTTTGTTAGAATATGACAGAGTAAACGAACCTGAAGAAATGTAGCGAACATAACCTTTTTTAACTCCGCATGGAAATTTGAGGGATTGATCTAGAACAAACATAGTAAGATCTATGAAAAAGCCAAAGAAAATGAATACTTTTCTGAGCAGTCCGTTACTCTCGTAATGCTGCAGAAGCGTTGGTTCACAACCATTTTGCTGCCCTGGAACCTCCTGTAAAAGCTGATTACTAAAGCACGTACTACTAGAGAACTTACCAAGCAGAGCACGAATTCGGGAATCAATCCAGTCTGTTAGCAAAGAAGTGAGAAACGAAAAAGATGATAAAAACATGCTTTGCGAACCTTTTGCTCAAACACGAGGTAATCTTGGAGAGTAGCGGGGAAGTCCTCAATCACAAAGTTTTTTGACCTGCTCTTGTTCATCGCATTTGCAAGAAAATCGACTTTTGATTCAGCTGCAGTTGTCCTGGAAAGGCACAAGAGCTACAAATGTTGAAATTGTAAACGATGATTCTAGAACAGACCCCGCAGAATCGATGAGATCCTTCGAGCAAACGTGCTGTAGTCTAAACTGCCGAGCAATTTCTTGGCATTCTAGGGAGGCGCCAGTGCCTGTGAAAGGCCTTAGTTGGAAAAGAGAAGATATGGGCATTTCCTCACCTATCACAGAAACGTACTTGAGCGGCATTTCGAGCTGAAGAACAGAAAACCCCAAGTGCAAAATATGTACCCCTAGTAACAGTGCATCTTATTCTCATAATTGATCAACCTCAGTGATTTTGCTGAGCGCTAGACCAGTACTCGGCCACAAGCTTTGCAAAGAGCGAGGTTCGATCATTCAGGAGCTTCTCCGGCACGTCGAACTCAGCTACAATACCTGCCAACCAAAGGAGCAAGGTTGGCTGGAAAACAAACAAGGTTCACAAGCTTACCATCTCTCAGAGCCAAGACCATGTCACTGTCAATGACCGTGGGAATCCTGTGAGCTACAGTTATGACGGTGCAATCCGAAAACTCCTCTCTTAGAAGTTTTTGAAGGATGGCATCGGTAGCGTTGTCAATGGAAGCTGTCGCTTCATCCAAGACAAGGATGCGGCTCTTTTTAAGTAGCGCTCGAGCTAAACAGAACAATTGGCGCTGCCCGACGCTCCAGTTTTCACCATCGTCTCCAACTGCAAAGATGAACGTCATTTCCATAACGAAATTGAGAGTTTGATCAGAGCTTACCCAATGAGCTGAGCTTTCCTGGCTTCTCTTTTATGCTCTCGCGAAGGTGGCATTTTTCAAGCACCTACGTGACAAATAATGATTTAGAGGAGGATAAAGAACCATACGGAATTATTTTACCTCCCAAATCAAGGTGTCCGGATGCTCCTCCAATGGATCCACATTAAAACGGACTGTACCACGAAATAATGTTGGCTCTTGAGGGATTATACTGAGCCTGGAACGAAGAACTTTAAGTGGAACTTTGGTTATGTCAACACCATCGATAACTATTGTCCCTCCTGCTGGTTCAACTAGACGAAACAAAGCGCTGATTAGAGTGGTTTTGCCACTCCCTGTTCGCCCGACAATGCCGATCCTTTGACCACCCTCAAATGTGCAGGAAATCCCTTTTAGAACTAGTGGAGATCCTGGCACATATCTAATCTGCAGATAATGAAAAGAAAAAAAAACGTTCATCAATACGGAATAGTCGGATGCTTTTCTTTTGTTCTACCTGAAGATTTTGAAGCTCAATTTTACCGCAGTCTGGCCAGCTCGCAGGAGGCTCATTTAGAATGTTTGTCTGAGGTTCTTCACGTGGAAGATGCAGGTACTGCTTGATACGCTCCACAGATACGATAAAATTGGCCAGATTACACTGATTTTGCACACTTATCACCTGTGCAACGTTCAAGGACAGACCATATGAAATCGCCAGACCAGCAAATCCTGTTACAAAAATTGCTATTAGCAGGTAGTCCTCCAGAAATGGCAAAACTATACCTGCTGAAATTTGACCAGAGGGAAGTATCACCATTACAAGAGCCGAGCAGCACACGATTAATGACCAGAGTGTCTCTAGGCGCTGGATCAGCCATTCATTGGCTGCGTTGCTATAGAATGCAGGTCCTGAATTGTCATCGACAAGTTGTAGCATCTTCTCCATAAAAAGCTTTTCCTTACAATAAGATCGTATCGTCGAAGCACCTGCGATAGTCTCTTGCAAGTAGCTGGCTAGTGGCGATTTCGTTGTACCGTGAATTCTCATCAAGTCTCTAGCCGAAGCCAAGTAGTAGAGCTGCATCTAGAGTAAATACAAGAAACAATGGAATAGTTTGTTACCTGGAGTCTCCTGCTGATATATATTACGGGGATGACCACGATCAAAATCTGCCAAGTGACCGCTGCTGTGACCGCCAGGCTGCTATAGGCATTTAGAGTTGCAGACATAGCAATCTGCATGCTGAAAGGAATGTCGACATCGAGAATACTCAAATCCACAGATAGCTGCCAATACAACAAAAAAGGTGTGAGAACAATTGACGACGACAAAAACAATCAACCATACCCGGCTGAGTATTCGCCCCGTTGGAGTGCTATCGAAGAACGACATTGGAGCGCGAAACAGGGAGGCTGTGAGCTCCGAGAAGAAGGATTTTGAAGCCTCTAGTCCCATGGTGACAGTCAAAAGAGATCTCAGGTTGACAAACGGCACTGTGCTGAGTCCAATGGCTGCATATATTCCGACCAATCGACCAGCTGAGACGTTTGGATTTCCAACATGTGATGCCATCCACCAGTTTGACGAAAGCTGCCCCCCAGTGAAGACGAGATAAACTAGCACCGCCAACCCGATGTACAAAAACCCGTTGGCCTGGCCGAGATAATAGATAAACGGCCTCATTCCAGTGTCTCCACGCTCAACTTCTTCCAGTTTGATCAGTTGGTCGCCTTTTATTCTGTCTGCCACTTGTTCTTGGTCGTGTTTCCTCTTTTGAGAATTTTTGCTGCTCAGCCTTCTGTCCAGCACCCGTTTCTCGGGCCCCTGGGCTCGAGTTCCCATGACATCCTTGTGGGCACCAACAAGGTCTTGGAAGAGCTCGCTTTCTTTTAATAAATCTTCATACTTTCCGAAGCTGTGTATCTCGCCGTCGTGCAGCAGCTGCAGAGAGAGATGAGAAAACGAGCAGGAATAATATATCAAGAACAAAATCGTACCAAAATGGAATCAAATATTGGCAGAAAGTCGACTTGGTGGGTGACAAGGATGATTGTCTTTGCCGACAAAGCCCCTAATATGCAGTTCTGCACAAATATATTAAAAGATACAGTTGGAGCAGCACGATCCAAATCACCTTAAGAAGTAGAGCTCCTGTCTGAGCGTCCACTGCACTGAAGGGATCGTCCAAGAGGTAAACATCCGCATCCTGGTAAATAGCGCGAGCAAGCTGTATCCGTTGCTTTTGGCCTCCGCTCACGTTCAAGCCCCTCTCGCCAATCTCCGTGAGGTCCCCAAACTGTAAGTTTTCGAGATCCTTATCTAGAGCGCAAGCTCTGAGCGTCATGATATACCGGTCGTTTTCAAGTGGAAGACCAAAGAGTATATTGTCTCGAATCGTTCCGCTCTGGATCCACGCTGACTGAGAGACATAAGCAACACTTCCAGACACGTGAATCTGAAAGGCAAAAAGAAATAAATGAAGAGCTGGAAGAACAATGCGAGCATATGTACCGTTCCACGAAGCTTGGGAAGTTCCCCAAGAATTGCATGCAAAAGAGTAGACTTCCCGGATCCAACTTCTCCGCAAACCGCCAGCTTCTCTCCACGCTTGACAGTCAAGGTAATGTCCTTGAGAGTGGGAATAAGCTCATCACTGTCCCAGTCGAAATCCGCGTATTCAATGCGAACTGCAACCTCGTTGTCACGGGAGGACGATCTGGAGACTATGCTGGGGTCCAGCTCGTCCTCGCCAAGAAAGCGAGAAATGCGAGCTAGTGACACCCTCACGTTGACAAAGGCGGAGATCACGTCCGGAACGAGGCGTATGCTCTCCTGGATGATCCGCAGCGTCGCGAGAGCCGTGAACACATTGCTGGCAGACAGAGGAATCCCGAGGAAGTACGCCGCCACGAAGGTGGAAGTCGTGACCAGGATCGGCGACACCCAGAAGAATATGGAGTTTAGAGTCCTCCGGTACTGCACTCCTCGTATCCACTGGAACTCAGCGTCTCGGAGGTTCTGGATCGCGGCCATGAACTTGTCCTCCCAAGCTTGCAGCTTGAGAATCTTCATGTTCCTGAGAGCCTCCGACGTTGCTCGCAGCCGCTCGTCTTGCGCAGCCATGAGCATGGCCTGGCACTTCTGCTGCATCCTCACCACCGGCCCGTTCAAGAACATCGTAAGAAAGATGACTGCCAGCCCCGCGAACGTAGCCAGTCCCACTGAGAAGTAGATGATCCCCATGGCGATGAAGATCTGGAGTGGAACCGTCCAGGCCATATGGAACCAGTAAGGGAACTCGCCGACGCGGTAGGCGTCCACCGCCATGTAGTTGACGATCTCTCCAGCGGCGTGGGACTGTCTTCCCAAGTTGGACAGCTTGAGCTCCTTCTCGTAGATGGCTCCAATCAGCGCGGCGCGAGCTCGCATCCCCACTCGCCGGCTCGCAAAGTACCAGTGCCGCTGGGAGATGGACTCGACCATCTTGGCGAGGAACAAGGCCGCCACCAGGGCGTAGCCTTCGCCTTTGAAGAGGACTCTCCCATTGGCGAAAGCGATGAAGGAGTTGAGAACCAGCGGCCCGACCGAGAGCGTCACCGACTTGAGAAAGGCGAAGACCCCGGCCGCCGCCATCTCCTTCCAGTAGCACCGCGCAAGCGCGCTGGAGAGCGACGCGCCGTCGATCCCTCGCTGCCGCCGCTCGAAATCCCACGCCCTGGCGAGCTGACTGCACGCCTCCCGCGATCCATCCTCCGGCGCGAGCGCTGGAATGTCGGCCGGCTCCAGCGGCGCCTTGTAGCCCAGCGCCAGCACGGGATTGAGCCACAGGAAGAAAGCCCGGCTCGCCAATCCGGCCGAGGCGTACGGCGTGATCGATTCCCCTGCGCTGTGATTGAGATTCTTGCGCCGTACCTCATCGCCTGGAAGGAGGCGCTGGCGGAGATCGCTCGACTCCATGCTCGCTCCCGATCCAATGCTCGCATCAATCAAGCAAACCTATCGATCGCGATCGATTCGCGCTGCCACAAAGCCCTATAATATTTGGCAGGACAGACAAGCTCTTGCTAGAAGGTAAAACTCTCTTCTATTCGTCCAGGCGTGGGCACGAATGGCCAGTGGCGACGATGGCGAGGTTGCGATTAGGGCCAGCGCTTGTGCCAGTGAGCGTACAAGTGACAGTGTCCGTGAATGTGTACTTGTACATGAAGGGCAAGAATCCAGCCTCGGTTTGCAATGCCGCCTCGAAGAAGATGTAGAATTCATCGCCATCGCCGTAAGCGACGCTGGGCGACGCTCCATAGAGTGGGGTGGAGCTCGATCGCAGCTCCACGGTCACCTCGGTGGTGGTCTTGCGCGGCTCGTAGAATTGACCGATCTGGAGCGAGAGAGAGAGAGAGAATCAAAAAGTTTGCGGGACTTTTGGAGAGATTCTTACGGTTGTGGAGGAGATCTTGCGGAGAAAGATGTTCATTGTCATGAGGCCTTTGATGCTGTAGCCCCAGAAATCGTCGCCATTTGTGATCTTGAGCACCACTGTGGATTTGGAGGTGAGGAGGCTGGTTGGCAGCCCTCGCGAGTCGTGGCCCATGGAAACATTCCAGTAGTTGATCTTGATGCTCTATGATACGACCAAAGCTGGGATCAATCGATCGATCAAACAAGGCGGAGCTATCTCACCTTGAGCATGACGAGTGGCCTCTTTGGAGACAGTGTCGAGGTCCATATCACCATTCCAATCGCGAGAGTTGCCACAGCGACGAGCAAGCGCCATCGCCGGAGCAGCATTCTTCGAAGAGAGAAAGCAGGAAAGATTTTAACACGCAAATAAGAGGCTTAAATTTAGAAGAGGTTCACAAAAATTTAAACACTAAAAACGCAGAAACTTCGGAAAATTAAAATGAGGTTAAACACATAAAAAGGCAAAAAAAAAAAAATTCTTATTATAAAAATAAAAATAAAAATAAATAATAATATAGCTAGAAACTAAAAACTAGGATATTTAATAATAACAATAATATTAATATAACGGATATTTTAATTACCAAGACTTAAAACTAGAGGTTTATGGTTAAAAGCTCTTAAAGGTAACTGATTTAGGGCAGAGGAGGATTTAGGGTTTGGAGGAGAGCACGGCGATGGTGACCATGGAATTGGATCGCGTCGGGGTCGGCCGCCCGGCGTCGACGGTGTCGGACACCATGGACGAGGTACTCTACTCGCGATTGATGCACAGCATTGGCAGGAAGGCCGTGGAGTGGCTGTCGAGCAGCAGAGTTTTGGTGCTGGGCTGCCGCGGCATGGGCGCCGAGGTCGCCAAGAACCTGGCGCTCTCGGGCGTCGCCAGCGTGGGATTGGTGGACGAAGGCACGGTGTGCGTGGAGGATTTGGGATGCCAGATGCTGCTCAAAGAGGGCGATGTCGGGTCGAACAGGGCAGTGGCCACGGCCAGGACTCTGCGAGAGCTCAGCCCCTGCGTGGACGCCATAGCCATCTCCGAGGCCGCGCTGGAGAGCTCGCTCAAGGACTTCCAGCTCCTTGTCGTCACCATGGGGACTCTCCCCTACATCGCTCACGTCAACCGGATGTGCCGAGAGGCCGGGGTGATGCTCGTCGCCGCCATCTCTCGGGGGGTCTTCTCCTTCGTCTTCGTGGACCTGGGAGAGTGTTTCTCCGTGCTGGACGAGACCGGCGAGCCTGTTTCGCCCGTGCTGGTCGAGGGCATTACGCAGGACTCTCCAGCGACTGTCACAGTGGTGGAGGAGCAAAGGCACGGCCTGGAAGACGGGGACGAGGTGGTTTTTAGTGGGATCTCTGGGATGGAGGAGCTCAACCACAGGGTTTCGTATCCAGTCACGGTCACAGGCTCTTGCTCTTTCACCATCCCGGAGGATACTCGGGGATTCAACAGGTATGTGTCCGGGGGATACTTCCACAAGAAGAGGCCTGTGAAGAAGATGAGCTTTCTTCCCATGGACAAGTCCATCAACTCGCCGGAGTTTTGCATCAGCGATCCGGCAAAGGCAGGCCGGACACCATGCCTCCACATTGCGTTCCAAGCCGCGGACGAGTACGAGAGGCAGCACGGGTTGTCTTCTACGGGAGCTGGCTCAACTCTCGAGGATGCTGATGCCGAGGAGGTGGTGAAGCTGGCTAGAGAAATGTGGCTTCGGGCTTCCCCCGGCGGCTCGCTGCAAGAGAATGGAGATTTGTCGTGCAAAACTCCCGACTTGGATCGTTCCAAGTCTGGTGTGACTTCCTCCTCGGCCACGGGAAAGAGAGATGCCGACAGCTCTAGTAGCGCGAACGAGGAAGCTTGCTCATCGGATTCAGGTGCAGGAAGAAGAGATGGGACCTCCGGGCTGGACGAGGAACTAGTGAAGCTGGTAGCACAGGGAGGTTCTGTGGAGATTTGTCCCATCGTGGCCATCACTGGAGGCATAGCTGCACAGGAAGCCATCAAGGTTTGGTTCCAGTTTCCGACAAAGTTGGTTGCTGATTTCGGTTCCTTTTTGCAGGCTTTGTCCAAGGTTTTTATGCCAGTGCATCAGTGGTTTTACTTTGATGCAACGGAGTGTTTGCCGCTTAAGTCTTCGTCTTTGGAAGAACGCACCCCGCTGGGATCACGGTATGATTCCCAGGCGGCGCTCTTTGGCCGAGAGTTTCAGCAAAAGCTTAGCTCTTCGCAGGTTTGCTGTATAGACTGTTTTGTCCTTTGCATTTGGCTGACATGCTTTGTCCTTGTGTTTTTTGTTTTTTCTGTTTCAGTGGCTGGTTGTGGGAGCTGGAGGAATAGGCTCCGAGGTTTTGAAAAATCTTGTTTTGATGGGTGTGGGTTGTGGAACTAGTGGGCGCATTGTTATGACGGACATGGATTCTGTGTCCAAGGCAAATCTAGTAGACCAAGCTTTGTACCATATAGACGACTTAGACAGACCCAAAACTCCGACAGCAGCAAGAGCTTTACGAAGGATAAATCCTGCTGCTCAGATTCACGCACTACAAGAAAAGTTTGATGCTTCATCAGAGAGCCTTTTTGACACTTCGTTCTTTGAGTCGATGACTGGTGAGCTAGTTATATACTTTGGTTTATCGTTTCTACTGACGTGAAAAGTCGGTGTCATGCAGGAGTGATATCTGCTGTGGACAATTCTACGTCGAGGCTGTACATTGACATGCGTTGCGTAAACTATAGAAGGCCTCTGATTGACGGGGGAAAGCATGGAGCCAAAGGTAGCGTTCAGGTAATACAGTCGAACAAACAGCTTAAGGCCTATTGTTATTTTACAGACACTGTTATGCGCAGGTCTTTGTGCCTTTCCAGTCGGAGATGTATGCGTCCACTCGAGATCCACCAGAGCACAGAGAGTTCCCAATCTGTACCTTGAAAAACTTCCCGTATGCACCTGAGCATACGCTTAAGTGGGCCGTGGAAACTTTTGAAGCGCTGTTCAAACAGCGGCCGGTGGATGTGAACTCTTACCTTTCAAAGAGAGATTTTCAGGACTCTATGCGGAAATCACCTGCATCGACGAGGCTGCCCATCCTCGAAACTCTGAGGGACGCTCTCGTGCTACAAAGACCATTGAGGTACTCGCTTTCCGAGTTCCTCGTGCGCCATGAATTGACATGTTTGTTTGCAGCTTTGATGCTTGTGTGCAATGGGCTCGTCTTCAGTTTGAAGAGCTTTTCACCAACAATATCAAGCAGGTATTGTCTGTAAACTTCTTTATTTTTCTTTCCTTTTAACTTGGAGACTTTGCATGCAGCTGCTGTATAACTTTCCGGCTGGAATGACAACTTCAGCGGGCACTCCTTTTTGGAGCGGCACGAAGCGAATCCCAACGCCCTTGGCTTTCCATCCTTCGGAACCCCTGCACATGGATTTTATTATCGCGGCCGCGAATCTACAGGCCACAGTATATGGCCTGAAGGGTTGCCGTGATCATTCGCTCTTTGTGGATATCGTACAAAGAGTTGCTGTTCCGCACTTCCAGCCCAAGGTAAACCTCGCTTAATCTCCTGCTCTTTCTTGTGTATTCACATTTACACTTGAAACTATTAGGAAGGAATCAAAATTGCTGTTAGTGACAGTGAGGTTCGGAATCCTCAACGCAGGGGTCAAGATGACAGTGATGCTACCGCTGCTTGCGAAGCCATCCTTCAAGAGCTCCCAACGCCTCCTAGTCTTGTGGTAATCAAAACTTCTCTTTTGCGTCTGACACTCACTTGTTTTCTCTACAGGGCTATCGCCTCACACCGTTAGAGTTTGAGAAAGATGACGAACACAACTTCCATGCCGATTTCATCGCAGCTGCTGCAAATCTAAGAGCACACAACTACGGTATCCCGTTAAGTACCAAGTTACAGGTTGGCTTTCGTACATTTTTCTTCCTTGTTCATCAGAAAAGTATACTTTTTTTTGCAGGCGAGATTGATAGGGGGCGGCATTATCCCTGCAATAATCACGTCCACATCAGTTGTGGGTGGTTTGATCTGTCTCGAGCTCTACAAGCTCTTGCTGCAAAAGCCGCTGAGTGACTATAGGCACTCCTACTTCAACTTGGCAGTTCCACTCTTTTGCTTCGCTCAACCTATGAAAGCATTCGAGCATACGGTACGCTACGCATTTCCTAGCTAGCCAACTTGCGTGCTCACGCCTTTGCTTACGTTTCCAGGTTGCACGATCGCAAGGTGGCCTACTCAACTGGACACTGTGGGACAAGTTCGAGATGGATTGCGTGGGGATGCCCCTGGAAAGCTTCCTGCTCAACTTCAAGCAACAGCAGGGCCTCGAAGTAAGCCACCACTGTTCCCTGCCGCCCGCTCTCGTCTCACGTTTGTCTTCTCTTTCGTGCGTTTCCAGATCACAATGGTTTCTTACGGCAAAAGCCTGCTCTATGCGGAGTTTCTGCCGCGGAAGAAGCTCCAGGACAGGTTTCCAGTGACGCTCTTGGATCTGGTGACAAGCGTTGGCAAGGTGGCCGTGCCACCCACGGAAACCAAGCTCGTCTTCTCAGTCTCTTGTACCGACGCCGACGGGAACGATGTCGAGGTGCCTGACGTTATAGTCAAAGTGCGATAGCTAGCGCTACGCCTCTAGAAAAACACTGTACAGCCCCTGTTCTTCGTGACTCTCTAGAATAAACATCCGATCGCAATCGCCCAGATCGATCGATCAGAGGAAAAAATTCTCGCAATCGCAGCGCTCACATGCCCACCAAAAAACCCAATACGATCAAGCAGAGGGATCTGTTCATGCGAGCTCCATGTAAAAGAAGAAAGCGCAGAAAGAGGAAGAAGAAAGCGCCAAAAGAGCCCTAAAAGTGCCACTTGTGACGGGCGCAGCTCGCGCCACGTAGCGCCGGAATTCCGCGCTGGACAGCCACGCTGGCAGTAACGTGGTAACTTGGATAGCCACTTGATTGGCATCGCCAGGAACACCGTGATCAAATTGATCGCGATCGAGGGTTCTCTTCTTTGCTTGTGACCGCAAATTGGCCCTATTGTCGCCTTCCTTTGTTTGTCTCTCTCTCTTTCTCTCTCTCCCTGTTTTTATATCAGGTCTCTTGGACCTCTGGGTCGCCCTGAGGATAAATTCCCACAGAATTCCAGCTATCCCGGTATCGCTTCTCTTCCTCTCTCTCGCCCGCGATTGATCGTTTGAAATCGATCTTTCTTCCTCTGCAAGCTCTATAGCTCGTGCGCGGAAACGTTATCCCATCCCGCGCACGAATGTCGCTGGAGCTGTGCAGTAGCATGGGCCTCCTGGGATTCTTCCAGCAAGCCACCGATCACGATCCAGCCCCTGCCGCCGAAGATCGCCCACGCCCGAGAATGCCGGTTCTCACGCCGCCACTGCAGCTGGAGGCGTCGGATTCGTCGCCCGGCGGGGACGATGCCAAGTCGGCGACGTCGAGGATTGGCGGGATCGGGCGCTACCTGGATCTGTTCAAGGGCATGGGCGCCGACCTCTCGCGCTTCCAGGTGCCCGTCCACCTCAATTTCCCCAAGTCGCAGCTCCAGCTCTACGGCGAGATGGTCTACTGCTTCACCCAGGACATCCTCTCCCAATGCGCCGACGCCGCCACGCCCATGGATCGCTTCCTCCACGCCCTGCGATGGCACATCTCCGCCACTCGCCAGCCCCACTTTGGCAAGGCGCCATACAACCCCATCCTGGGCGAGACACACCACGCCTCGGTGGGCGATCTCAATGTCCTCCTAGAACAGGTGAGAAGAAGAAGCGCGAATATCCTCTAATATGCTTCGTCCATTTTTTTAGGTCTCTCACCATCCGCCCGTGAGCGCGCTCTATGCCACGAACGAGAAAAAGGGATTCCAGCTCCGATTCTGGCACCACGCGTCTCCCAGGTTCTATGGTGCGATCGTGATCTCTCTTTGCGCGATTTGGATCCCGGATTTTTTATGCATTTTCTTGCTCGATCTTCCAGGCAGCGGCGTCGATATCACGATCCACGGCCGCAGGCTCCTCAAGCTCGAGCGGCACGGCGAATCCTACGAGATGACCTCGCCCAAGCTGGGGTTCCGGTTCTTGCCCGTGCCCGGCACGGATTGGAGCGGCTCTACCACGGTGAGCTGCGCCGAGACGGGGCTCAAGGCCACGATCGTGTACAAGAACAAGGGATTCTTTGGATTACACGGCTCGAGCAGGAGGATCGGTGGCAAGGTCTGGGACACCAACACCGGGAACACGCTCTACGAAATCCATGGCAATTGGGACCAGTGAGTAGAAAATCACTCGCATTCTTCTCTTCTTTGTTCTTACTCAAGCTGTTCTTCCTCTCGCGAATTCCATTCTTCTTTTCTTTCCTCGATTCTTTCTCACGCTATCCGTCCTCTCGTGAATTCCAGGTTTGTTTATCTCAAGGAGAGCTCCAGTGGCACGACGAGCACACTGTACGATGCGAGGGCGGTGGTCGGGAAGCTCCGGCCTCCACAAGTGAAGAACCTCAACGTAAGAAACTCTTCCTCTTCTTCTTCCTCTAGCCATAGCTTGCTCTAACGCAAAGTTGGCCACAGGCAATATCACCCATGGAGTCGACGCTCGTGTGGAGCGGTGTGTCCGAGGGGATCTTGACGAGAGAAGTGGACAAGGCCCGGGCGGCCAAGCTTTGCGTGGAGGAATCGCAGCGAGCGCTCCGCAAGGAGAGGCAGGCCTTGGGGATCAAGTGGAGCCCAAAGTTCTTCACGCTGTCCGCCGAGACTGGCGATTGGGAGTGGCAGCATCCGGAGCACCCTGTTCCTCCAGCTCCACTCGTAGTTCCTCTTCCTTGAGCTTCTCGCCAGCCGAACTGTGGAAACTCGCCCTTGAGCTTCTCGCCGGCCAAGCACTTTCTTTTCGTGTGGAAAAACTCGCGCTTGAGCTTTCTCACTATCTCTTTTCGTGTGGATAAACTAGGCCAGAAAACCAAGCTCGCGGAAAGATCTGGAAAAGCCAGGGATGAGTTCCAAGCTTTCATCAAGAACAAAAGAGTTTTCTTCCATCTCCCACCTTGTATACAAGACTCGCGAGTTTACCACCTTGTTCATACAGAGACACGATCTTCTACTTTCTAAGATGCGTGGTATGCAACACGTTCCCGAATGCGTCGTAGAACTCTAGGAGAAACGAGCTGCGCCCCACGGAAGCCGAGACGAAGCCTTGGCCATCGTAGGCGAAGTGCAGGCCGTTCGCAACTGTGGCGGGGCGGATTCCTTGCCAGGATTTGGAGCCCGCGCCACTGGTGATGAAGGTGATCTTGCTGCAAAGACAAGCCATACCGAACATGAATGATCCGCGGGAATGGAAAGGTCATATGCGTACCTGTCCGAGTGTTTTATGTGCTCGAGACAATGGTCGTGGCCATTTATGTATGCGTCAACGTCGTGAGCCTGGAGAAGGAAGTCCCGAGTAAGCAAGAGTCAAGGAAATGGAGACTTTGTTTACCTCCAATACGGGTAGAATCTGGTCGAGGAGTTCTACGGAGTCGCCGTGGTGTCCAAAGCTGTGCATCGTGTGGTGGCCAACAACGATCTTCCAGGTTGCTCGAGACGACGCCAGCAATCTGTCGAGCCGCTGGAAGAAGCAACCCGGAAGACAGTTAGAAAAGAAATCGAGAGGAGAAGCTACTGGACGAGTTCCTATGCTACGTGAAAGCTGCGTCGCTTGCCTCGACTTGTGAGCGGAGCTGTTCTTGGCGTGGTGCCAATCCTCGCCAATCGAATGTTTGAGTTGCATTTGGCATCCAATACTCGTCAATGAAGGGGGTCGTGTCAATGAAGAACAAGTCCACGGAGGACTCACAGGCTCCTGCCACAAGCGACCAAAAGGTGTTTAAAGCTTTTTGTCAGGTGTTCTTAACAAAGAAAAGCAAAGTTTGACGATTACCTGTGTTGAGACTTCCACACAGTGATCTTCGCAGCTCAAACTCTCGCCTGCAATACCAACGCGAATCACGCTGTGTCATGGCCGGGTCAAGCTGCGCCAGAGCGTCTCCCATATAATCATGGTTGCCAAGAACTGCCGAGGAAAGACGAAACATAAAAAATTTGTTCTAAGTTCTAGAAGAGATGGAAAAGTCTTACTTGTGTACCACGGCTTTTGTAGGCTGGGAGCAGTATAAATCCTGCTGAATGAGGTCGTGAACTTTGGATCCTTAACACCGGTTAGTCCGGTGTTATAGAAGTTGTCACCGACCGAGATAACAAAATCGATATCGAGGAGCTCGCCAACTCGGCCCATCTGAGAAACCACAAGAAACAAATCAGTACACTGCAAGAACAAATCTCTTGCAAAGCTAGAAACTGAAAAGAAGAACAAGAGGAAGAAGAACCAAGGAATAACAAAAGAGGGAGAAAAAAAACGGTACCTGACTAGCAACAAGAGACTGGTTGTAGAACCCATTTCTTCCCCAATCGCCGATCACCAAGAAATTTAAGGGGAACTCCTCTTGCCTGGTGATGATCCCTCCTCCAGCCCTGGAGTAAAGCAAGCCCAGACCTAGAACCGAGACGAGCAGCAGCAACGACACCACGATCCAGAATCTCCTGGAATCATTAGCTCGCAGCTCCTCCTAGTAAATCAAAATCCACACCCACATTAGAATGCCGCATGCCCGATCGCATCTATCGCGCTACTTACCCTCGTCTTGGAGACAATGAGCGCCTCCTCCTCGTCGCTAGCGTGGCGATAGTCATCGCCGGCTCCCATTTTGCTCGAAATATCGCCCGTGACGCGATCAATCGATCGTTGAGCTGCGCGCGCGGCACCGGCCACACCCTAGCTAAGCCGATCGATCGATCGATGGATAGAAGGCGCGCTTGACAAGAACCCTCGCGATCAAACCGCGGCTACTTGGAAATGAGGTACACGACCGTACCACCATTGGAGATGGAAGTCCCACACGGTTATATAGTGACCAAATTTTCTGTTGCCTGTGTCTAGGTATATGCCGATTCGAATATCCTCGCGGGCATATCCACTGACACCAGCCGTCGGATGGCCGCCGGAACGGACGGCCCAGATCAAGCTTGTATCTTGCTTCACATTCACTGGCTGGCGCAAATGCTTCCAACAATGAATGGGAAGAATGGAATGAATTTAAAGGGAGACGAGCGAGCGAACGATCGAATGAATCTGGTTGAAAAATTCGTAACCTGCGAGCGATGGCGCTGGCGTTTTCTTTCTTCTAGAGATCGATTGGAATTCGCAAGCCGTCGTAGGCCAGGCGGACGTCTATTCCCTCGCTGAAATCCATCACCCCAAACGGTTGCTTGTATCACGCAAAGAAAACGAATGCCAAAGAAGAAAACGCGCTTACATCTTGGACCAGTTTGCGAGGAACTCGTTGTCGAGCTCATGGTCGAATTCGTGAGTCATGCCTACAAACAAGGCGCGCTTGGGGCGGATTCGCTTCACTGCCTCCAGGCTCTGCGAGCATGCATGAGTTCTTAGCAAGCGTACAAATCCAAAGCTTGTGTGAGAAAAACTGCTACCGCTACTGTGAAGTTACCTGAGGAAAGCAAAAGTGTGTGTTGTGCTTGTCCTTCTGCGGTACCGATCGAAGTATTAAAAAACGATCCGGCAAGGAAAAGATCAAAACTATACCTTGTACAAAGTGTCGAGGAAAAGCAAATCAACTTGTCCTCCACTTTCTTGCGAGATCACTACAGCATAGACAAATTATCTGAGTGGAAAGAGCACTAGAATATTATCATCTAGCTTACGCTGCTCGGTCTCGGGTAGAATCCTCGATACATCTGAGATGTATGCCACTCTGGACTTCCGTCCAAAGAGGAATCCAAGGCAGGGATAGTCTTCTCCATGCATTACCTGTTAGAAGAGAGAAACATAGGCTAGAACACTGGCAGCGCGAGAGAACTTAACTGGTAGCGGAGTGAACTCGAGGCCCTCCACATCAAACGGCGCGTCGCAGGACGTTTGGACGATCTTGTAGTTCAGCTGCGTCACTCGCCGGATCTCCTGCCCCTCCTTGACACCTTTCTGGACAAGGTATGGGAACTTCTCAGCTACACTGCGCCAAGGATGTTAGACTATTCGCGACGAAACTTACGTTACCTGTTCATGGTTTCCTGAGACAAGAAACAAGACAATGGCTTGATCCGGTTCAAGGAATTATACGGTTGCACGCCCCGTATCTCGTCAAGGCCTAGCATTGCATCAGCATGCTCATGTGTCAAAAGGATCTAGCAAACGAGAAATAAAAACTGGAGAAGGAGCAAATCAGAAAAGAACGCGAGAACTCACAGCATCGAGCCTGGGAACTTTGTTCGGCAAATACCAGCGAAGAACTTGCTCCTTGAAATGCTTGCCAGCGTCAATCTGGATGAATCGCAGCTCCCCATCACCATGCAGGAATTTGATGAGCAAGGAAGGATTGCATCTGATCGACCAAGTGAATGTTTCTAGCCAAAAAAAAAGAAAAAACTAGAAGAACAACGAACACACCTATAGTTTTTGTTGATCTGTGGAGGCAAGGCTATGGCCTTGTGGCACACGGCGCACGGCGGATCGCTGGGCCGCAGCAAGCACACCGGGCTTGGAACTCCCGTGGAAGATCCAGATCCTAAAACTATGAGCTCGGAGCCATCGCGCGCCACCGCTCCTCCATTCGCCTCCATCGAAGAATCTTGGTCTTTAGGGCTTCCAAGAAAATGGGAGTAGAACTTTACCATGCCTGGCATTCATGAGCTCCAGTTTCGATCGCAATGCCTGCCTCGATCGCATCTCGTCGTGCCGGACCTTGTCCGCGGCAAAGCAGATCCACGCGCAGGTTCTCGCGACGCATCGCAAGCTCAGATCGGACACCTATGTGGCGAATCTTCTGCTGCAAATGTATGGAAAATGCGGGAGCGTGGACGATGCCGCCCGCGTGTTTGGGTGGATCAGCAACAGGGATAGCTTCTCTTGGGTGCTCATGCTCTCGGCATTTGCCCAGAATGGGCATCTGGAGAGCGCCAAGCGTCTCTTTGATGCTATGCCGCTATGGACGCTCGCGGCCTGGAATGCGATGCTCTCCGCGTATGCCAGGAATGGATTCATCCAGAGCGCGAAGGGCATCTTTGACAAGATGCTGGAGAGGAATCTCATATCGTGGAACGCACTCCTCTCGGCATTTGCCCTTGCGGGGCATCTTGGAAGGGCTCAAGAGATCTTCGACGCTATGATCGAGTGGAATGTGGTGTCGTTAAATGCCATGCTGGGAATCTACTCTCGCAATAGTCAGCTGGCTCGCGCGAAATCACTCTTTGACAAGATGCCGGAGAGGGACGTGATTTCATGGACGACCTTGATCGCGGCAAATGCCCGGCATGGACACACCGAAGCAGCCAGAGCTCTGTTTGATGCCATGCCGAGAAGGGACCAGTTCTCGTGGAACTCAATGCTTTCGGGCTACATTGCAAATCATAACCTTGACAAAGCGAAAAACTTTTTTGATCATATGCCCGAGTGGAGCCTTGTGTCGTGGAACACTCTAATCTCCGGGTATGCCCAGTCGGGGCATCCAGAGGAGGCACGAAGCGTGTTTCTGGAAATGCGCGAGCGGGATCTAGTGTCTTGGAACGCTCTTCTAGACGCTTATGCACTGCATCGAAAGGTGGACGAAGCAAGATTTGTTTTTGATACAATCCCGGAGAGAAATCTCGTTTCTTGGACGCTAATGATCAATGCATATGCCGTGGAAGGGCATCTGGAGGAGTCTAAGTATTTGTTCCAGAAGATGCCCCTGCGCGATGTGGCAGCGTGGAACGCGATGCTGTCAGCTTATGCGAGAAGGGGGCTTCTAAACCACGCTAGAGCTGTGCTTGCCGCGATGCCTGAGCGCGATACAATCTCTTGGAATGCAATGCTCAACGCGTACACAAGCAATTGCCAGTACTTGCAGAGCTTGGAGCTCCTCAAAGTCATGGATTTGGAGGCAATCCAGTGTGATGAGACCTCTTTTCTAAGCATTCTTCACGGATGTAGTCACGCTGGAGATTTGCGCTCGGGATGGGCATGTTTTTGCTCCATGGGAATGGATCGTGCCATGAATCCAACCAAGGAAATCTTCTGCTGCATGACTGATCTCCTGGGTCGTGTTGGGCATCTAGATAGTGCCACTGACCTTGTGACTAGCATGCCGTATGTCCCCGGACTGATTGATTGGCAGTCCCTCCTGGTTCGCAAGGGCAGATTCTTGAAGGAGGCATTGGACATTGATTCAACGAGTGGAGCGCCATATATTCTTGTTTCCAACATGTGCACAATTGAAGATCCCTCTTGATTAAACATGATCATGCTAAGCTTCGCTATGAACAGGATGAGTGCTGGAAGATGAAGTGGTGGAATAAAAAATGGGATAAAATATATATTGAAAAATAAGGATTAAACTGTTAATTGTTCTTATTTTTTAAACTTTAATCTAACAACTGAATCCGTGGAAGGAAGGATGATCCAGAAGTCGATGGATAGCTTTCTGGATCCCCCCACAACGGTGAGGAGGTTGAGGCCCTGCAAGGGGGATGTGCTTGATCTGGGGCAGCAGCCCATTAAGCTACATGGGAATAGTTGTGACTATGCTACTTTTGTCTTCTTCTTGGAGCAACTCAAGGTGGGGGTCTCAATCCCTATCAAGGATTGCAGGAGCAAAGGGTATGCTATTGTCAAGGATGATGAGGTGTGGGAGAGGGTCAAGGATTACTTGCCAAGGTTGTGGTTAGTAGCTAAATGGGAATCAAACCATCCCATTTAATTTTGTGTTTATAAATTAATTGACTAATTTTTAATAGATACACTAAAAGTACCATCAAACAAACTAATATTTCACTGATTCCCATTGACTTTTGCCTTTTTTCTGTGATTTTTCACTAATCTTTGCATTCCTTCTGCAATTTCCAAGAAAATTAAATTAAAAAATTAAGAAATTTATATTTCTTTAGCAGTTGGTTGGCTTGAAAAAAGCAAAACCTGGAATCCTCTCAAACCGAAACCAAGCAAAACCTTTCAGCTGCAATGCACCCAGGATTATTCTTTAAGCCCTAAAACCCGGTCTATGGCAAGCGCAATGGTGGCGGCGGCCGAATGGTGGGCAGGTATTGTTGGAAAAACGGCAGATTGGTATGCGGCAGGCGCGGTAATCGAGCTCCCAAAGGCATGTGTCAGTTTGGCAGCCATGTCTTCTCATATCTTATTTGTAAGAGATGTTTTCGATGCGCTCTACAAAGAGATTGTATCAGAGCTTGTGACACGCGAGTTCGCCCTGTGCCATTTGAATGGCAATTCCGGCGTGGGCAAGTCGGCGTTTCTCTGGTACTTCATCATCCGGACCGGGATTGACAATCCAGAGTCCATAGTTCTCTATGAGACTGGTGTCTGGGTGTGGGAGTTTCGTGGCAGCGGGGATCTTCGGGTGGTGCCAAAGAAGAAGTATCCGTTCGACGTTATCCATTCGCCGGCAGTTACCTTCCATCTGATCGACCAAAGGGTCTACCCTGACCGACCCATTGGCAACCGAGCGCTTGTGGCGGCATCGCCAGACGACACGAATACGAAGGATATCAGGAAAGTGCGCCTGACCTATACGTTCTATCTGCCACCATGGGACAGGGGGGAGTTTGGTTTGCTTCTCGCTGCGTGGAACTCGGCGGCGAACAAGATGACGGGTAATGACGCAAACGATGTAAGGTTGAAGGTCAAAGCTGCTGATTTAGTGTTCGCCTGGTACGGTGGCATCCCGCGGCATGTTTGGGATCAAGAGGTGCGAAATCTAACGGAGAAATACTTTCATTCGGACGTGATGAAGTGCCTGGCGAATACCAAACTCAAGAATTTATCGTTCATCCTACAGAGCTCTCGCAATGCCAAGGACATATCTTGGCGCTTGTTCCACTTCAATGTCACGCCTGGCACCGGTTTCAGAGAGTTTCAGTACACGTTTTGCTCGGAGAAGGTCGCCAACCTCTACGCTGACTACCTGTGTAGAACCAACGTGGACAAGATCCGCAGCTTTCTTGAGGCTTCTCAGCCGTTCAGCGAGTACTCAGCCCTGAGAGGCTTCGTTTTCGAGCAATATGTCATCGGGCAGGCGTTGTCACAACAAATTATGGTGATGCCGATTGTGCTTTTTTACCATTTGAATGCTTTTATTTTGCATGTTATAGGTTGACACTGCTCACTGCCATCGTTGTTCCCAAACCGACAATCCAAGCGCGGATGTTATGGTTTCGTGGATCCAGTGCAGAACCTGCCTGCGCTGGTACCATCCCAGATGTGTCGACTTGCAATGCAAGTTCCAGTTTAAATACGAGTGTGCAAGTTGCCAAGGTGAGCCAAAGGCTCTGGTAGCATCTCCTTCCGGCCCTGGTCTTGTTCTACGATATTACGAAGGTGATCTGGAAGACGCTTTGGTCGCAGCTGGTTAGTATCTGATTTATTTATTTATTGATTTCCTCCTTTCTACCCTGCAGGTGAGGATGCGATTAAGTATATGTGGAGGCCCCTTCGAAAGAACAATGCGGTGTTTGATTTTGTGCTGTTACCACGCACGCTGGGACAGGCTACCGTTGCTTGTACTGACCACAAGCCCGTTCTCGAGGCTACAATCAAGGCGCAGCAGGCTCTGAAAGCCTGGAGAGAGCTGTTTTATAACAGCGGCCATCCCGACAACGATGAAACTCTGCTGGTTTTCTTTTTACCCCCGGATTCTTATCGCGGCTTCAAGTTCCAGAAGTACCGATCATCTAGAAAGGTTTCTCAGAAAGCTATCAGAGGTGAGTGATTTCACATGAGCAAGAAGTATGTGAAGTTAGAGCTTCTTTCTTTACCAGGGATTGTGCAGTGTAAGGTGGCCGTGCCGGTGTCTGGAAGTCCTTATGTAGAAGAGATGAGCCACGAGATGGATGTGGTTTCTCTAGATGTGAACTTACCAGGGACTTGGGAGGAGGCTCTCGGCTGCATAGAGTCTGAGGAAACTTTAGAAGATCCACCGGAGAAGTCACTTGTCCAAGAAAAGCTCCAATATTGGAAGAGGGACTTGGTGTGTCATAGAAGCGAGCTGGACGACTTGGAAAAGATACGTGACATTGCAGATGGTAGGGTGAAGCGCAAACGTCTTCAATCATTGTGCAAGATGTACAAGATCAGAGCCAATGCCACCAACGAGGAGATGCTGTTTGATCTGGCTGATCTTCGAAGTAAAAGTAGAAAAACTGCTTAGTCAAAGCTCTTGTTCTATATTTGTTTCCTCTCTATGAACTATGGTTGCATATGCTTAACTTTGATAAATTAGTCTAGCAATCTCTAAGAAAGAATGGTTGAGAACAATGGCGGGGTCAAGAAAATTGGCTAAGACTGGCTATACCGTGAGAATTTACGGCCCATATAATTTAACAACACCGTATTTTATCAACAAGGCCTTCATGATTCGGATTTTTCCATTGTACACATCAGTGTTCAGGTTTCGTTTAGAACTGGGAGTCTGGACCGCTGGAACTTCGTCACCAGGAATCGCTTGGAGCCACTCCTCAAAAACCGAAAACGAAAGAAATAAAAAAGGAAAGAAAGACAAAGCTCGTACCGACGCAAAGTGTTTGTTCTCCACGTGCTACCATTAAATCAATTAAAAAAAACCCGAGGAATCCAAGAATGATATAAAAAATATATAGCAATGCGTACCTGATCGCTCTCATCCAGGCTGAGGATGCATGCCGTCATGGAACCGTTTAAAATTGCTACGCACAGGCAGCTGAGCATTCTTCATCCAATCTACCTCCTGCTGATTCCGCACTTCCAATTTCAAGGCTCGCCAAGCGCTGATCAATGCATCAGGAATCATCACGACGGGAAAGTACTCCATAGAACTTAGTGCTGTCATCTATGGATCGCTGTGGAGATTCGACCAAGAGGGACTTCCAGTTGACTTGATCGCAAGGAAAGGGGATTTCTAGCTTGAAACTCTTATGCAGTGGGCGGACTGAACATCTGGAGTGCATTGAAGCAATGGGTGACAGACTACGCAGACATTTTCTACAAGAACGATGCTTCAGTCCGGGATGGCACTGAACTCCAGGCATGGTGGCAAGAAATCGCGAATGTTGGTCACGCAGACAAGAAAGCTGGATGGACAGACATGAAAACAAAAGCAAACTTGATCGAGGCCCTCACCACCATGATTTGGATCCCATCGTACCACCGTAACTTTGGCTAGTGCGCATACGCTAGATTCCCAGTGAACAGGCCGACCATCGCTCACAAGCTCAATCCTGACGAAGACACAGAAGAACATAAACAGCTGCAAATAAATGGGGAGAAATTCTACCTCTCATCCTTCTCCGCCAAAGCCGAAGCTGATGACAACCACTGAGATCCTCTCCGCGCACTCATCCGACGCAGAGTACCTGGGCACGCAGCCGGAGCATCACTGTTTTTCCACGACAGCCGGAGCACTGGACGAGCGACAAACAGGCGCTGGATCCATTCGCGCCATAGTGGAGTCGGAGGCAGAAGTGATGGCCAGGAACGCGGAAAACCTCCACGGCCTTGTCTACATACTCCTCGCCGGGCATCACTGGCCAAGGCGTCCCCAACAGACAGTCTTTGTTACTGCCAACTTATCTATAATATATAGATCCAGCCATGCCAGCCGTCAGATGGAGGGGTAATTGTCATTTCTTTAACTATGTTTTACTGAAATATTTTAATAAAATTTTATTGTCTGGCACAGTGTTGTGAGAGAGAAAATAAATTTAAAACATGTGATATGCACGTTTGGGCAAGAATCAAAATGGCATTTCTGGCTCCCTTAATTCCATTCCCACTAAACAATGCCCCCTCAATTGTGATGAGATAATATATAAATCAAAAACACTTTACCAACTAAACACTTTATGCTGAGTAAATTTTCTATGATTTTAGAATTAGGGTTCTTCATAATTTATAATAAACTCTCTCTCTTACACACACACGCCAAGAACTCACAGATGAAGGGTTAATCGTTGTTACAATACAGCCCGGATGCTGCTTGAACCCTTGCTTGGCCAGCAATTCACGTACTGCAAGCACTAGATCCTTCACTCTCCGCCATGCAGCTCCAAGGCCACAAACTGGTCACTGTCATCAAAGCCGCTGCCACGTGAAACGAGCCATAGAGTTCCATGCACTGGTTTTGCAAACTCCACTATCCGACTATAATATGGAACGTGTTCCAATAAAACTTACAGGACTTTTTGAACAAATCAAAATGGTTTGCCAAACCAAGGCACCACAGTGGCCATCCTGACAAGACCA